GAAGAACTACCAGAGCGGCGTCGTCAAGTCGTGCCCTGGCTCGCAGTCGGACCACGCCGTGCTCGCGGTCGGCTACGGCACGCTCAGCGGCGTCAACCACTTCAAGATCAAGAACTCGTGGGGCACGTCGTGGGGCGCCGGTGGCTACATCTACTTGCAGCGCGGCGTCGGCAGCAACGGCATGTGCAACGTCGCCGAGCACCCGTCATACCCCAAGATTAGCACGTCGCCGACGCCCACGTCGCAGAACCCGCCGACCAAGACACCCGCGCCAACGCCGGCGCCGACGGCGGACCAGTGCCACGGCTGCAGCCAGTGCTACTACCCGGCCGGTGACGGCTGCTACGACTTTGATGCGGCGACGTGCGAAGATCTGAGCGGCGACTACGGCACCATCTGGTGCGGCAACTAGGCGTCTTGTGGTGCTTCGCCTCTGCTCTTTCGTTGGTGACTTGCGCATATCGATGTCATTGTCCACATTTGAATACACATGATGTTTGTGTTCTCTGACTGCGTGGGTGATGTAGCGTTGGTATATATTACGCTTCCAGCAATCTACGAGAGAGTATCACGTAGCTGCTAGACTAGGAAATGGTTAAATTGTCCTCGGCGGACAACTAGCGAAGTAGCAAGCGTCCTTGTGAGAGCCGAGTGTGCAGTCACAAGAGCTTGATTGGAGCTAGTCGAACAGATGGAAGCTGTACTGAGTGGAAATACCCAAGAGTACTTTTGAGTGCATCACACCGCGAGAGCAAATTTCTCTGCGCTGCTCCAGTCCTCTCGGAAGCATATCCTGGCTCTGCTCTAGTTCATCATATAGCCATTTGCCAATACTGACGTTGAACCGGCTTGTTTACAGACCTTCGTCGCTATGACGTGACGTGTCAACGTCATAACGCGGCAAAGTTCCCATTGCGCTGTGATCAACGAGCCTGGGAAATTGCGTGTTTCTAGCGAGTCAAATTGGTTTGTCCGGATACCGGGCAAATCATGGCACCACCCGCAGCCAAGAAGCGCCGACCGACAGGCCGTCGCCCCGAGAAGGCCAGCAGTGACGCGCCGCCGCCGCCATCGGTACCTCTGCCGACGATCAGTACTTGGAGCTTTTATGGTCGAGCGTAGGGCCATGCGGAAATGGGCTACGAGATCGGGCGAGGCCGCACCGACGTCGTGGGCCATTGGCGCGACCTCGTACTCCGTGCGCCGCGGTCCTGCGGCTCACGCGACTTCTGCGTAGACGAGCGACGAGAAATGCGACTTGATGGGTCTGGACGAAGACGAGATTGATGACGCCATGCGCCTCGTCGTGCAGCAGTACCCGCAGCTCGACGCTCCGCTCCCGTCGTCCGTCGACCCGGCGACGACCGCGATGGTGCAAGCCATGTTTTTGCACGCGCTCGAGACCTGCGACGGCAAGCTCATACTCGAACACGTCTCGATCGAGACGATTGGGGTTCTCGTTGCCCTCGAGCGCAAGCTGCTCTACGCTGTGATTGGCAAGGTCGTCCTTCTCGCACTTCAACTGCACGTTGGCGACGCATGTACGCGTAGGACATGCATCGAAAATGCGCCGTCACTGTCTTGTACCTTGTATGGACGTCGTCGTGGCCGTATCTGGGCGTGGCCGGTACGCTCTGGACAGCTCGATCCAAGGTCTCATTGGTCGTAGGGTACCTCTTGGTGCTCTTCTCGAACCTCGGTCCGTGCACGTGGCTGCGCAACACGACGTGCGCGTACCTTGATGCGTTCTTTCTGCATGGCCCCGAGTACGTACCTCTTGGTCTATTTTGTCATGTCCACTGTATATACCGTTTCTAGTCCGCTGCACGTCGAGTGGTATTTCAACAGCTATCTCACGGCCCTTCTGTTGCTGTATACGTCCCACGACGCGCATGTTGCAGTCTACATCATATTAGGTACGCTTCTTTGGCTCATGGAAAGGCTGACAATATTGTGCATGTACCTGCGTACGTAGCCATCGTGCTCGCTCTTCCGTTCGGCGTCTCGGCACTCAAAAATTCGTATGCGGACGGCGCCGACGACCACTCAGCGCTCGACAAGATCACGTGCGGCTTTCTCATTCGATCGTCTGAACATCGTTGATACTATGTACGTAGATCGGCGCTGTCGCTGTTGAACAAGCTCATCCTTGTCTACTACTGCTGGGTCCGACAAGCCACTTCCGATCTCGACGATTCGCTCATGGGCCGTGTAGAGCTCGTACAGCAGCCTTCTCATGGTGGCGGCTCTCTTCTTTGATACGGCGGCCTTGTCGCTGGCGTCCGTCTCGTTCCTCGGCGTCGCGGTTGTCCTCGAACTTGCCGGGCGCGCCTTCCTACGCATCGTGCCACCCGCGTATGTCGAAGCGTATACCGAGTGGAAGGAACAAAGTCGGTGGCACGCGCTCGGCGCTGGCCTTGTGCCCGTGGCGGTGGCTGCCATTGTGCTCTATGCGACGTGGGACTGGACGTCGATGTTTGGCGGCTTTGTGCGGCTCGTGACGGTCCTCGCCCTCTCGCAAGCGGTGCCTGCGGGGCACCTTGCGACGCTCGCGCAACTCGCATTTCTCGCGATCGCGCTGCCGCTGCAGCTGGTGCAACTCGTGCTGCTCTGGCTCGGTATCAAGCCGACACCGACGACGTCGAGTACGACCCCGCCCGACGAGACAACCCCCGACGACGCAGAGACGACAGAACACTGAGTCGTTTTTGATTGTTGTGTTTCACTGCTGCGCCTGCCGTGATATAGGCTCGTATGTACGGCATTAGTTGGCGTGGTGACCGTGCCGACGGATGCCACGCACAATGCAAACCCAATCGAAAACACTCTTCGTCGACTAGAAATTGAACCGTCGCGGGGTAACATGAGTGTCGCGGAGCCCTAGCCCTAGTTTTAAAGGCTGCCCCACGGCCATCATTTGTACGGGCGTGAGAACCGCGAGGCGGCCGGTTGGAGATGAGCACGCACTGCGGAGGAGCTATCGTTCGCAGATCGTGTTCTATAGATGTCATGATAGCAAACACGACACGCTTGCAGTGCAACGACAACGAGTTTACGACAAACTGTCATGTTGACACGACGACGAACACTCGATTCAACTACTGGGATCACAACCAGGTTTTGATTTGCGTCTCGCGCACAAAGACCCCGTACGGCAAAGCGTGGGCCGCGTGCACGTTCTTGGCGCATGTAAAGTACGTCGTCCCGTGCACTGTGCCGCTGTGCTTGCCGTGGGGTTCATGGAGTTCGATCCCATACATGGTGCCGTTGGCAAACTCGGTCGAGCCCGCAAACCGGACGACGCCCGCCATGCCGTTGAAGAGGATGACCGAGCGACCAAGCAGCCGTCGAGGCACAGACTTGCAGCGCTTGGAGGCGACGGCGAACGCTTTTGCTTTGGGGGCGAGTTCGGCTGGCGGCGGTGCCAGCAGTGGCCGAGGCGAGCACAAGCTTTCTTCGACTTGCGGCGCGTACAAAAACTCACGAAACGAGCCGCCGATCTGCTCGAGCGTCGCCGAGAGCGACGGCTGGAGCGTGCGCCGGTGGACGGGGCTGGGGGCCGGTGCCTTTGCCACGGGGGCGCGCCGCATCTCGCTGTGGTTTTGCTTTAGAGGCGTGTGCCCACCAATGGTGGAGACCAGATGCGCAACGGCTACTTCGGCTTGCAGCGAGAGGTTGGCGAGCAGCACGGCGGTACGCGCCAGCGACAGGCGGTGGTGCCCCGACTGGATGCCGACAACGTTTTCGGCAGCATCGCGGATGCTCTCGGGTGTCAGCGGTCCGTCCATGGACGCTGGCGCGCAGCTCAGCGAGCCTACATGCATGGGCAATAGATAGACACATACGACGGTCGTGGCGTCTGTACCCGTGAACCGAAGTAGAGTTGCAAGCTGTGCTTTCTGGTCCGCGAGCGATTGCAGCAGCGACTGCAACAGCGGCGGAATCTCCTGCGGCTCAACGCGGTTCGTCGACGACGGCAATGTTGAAGACTCGTCCATGCTGTCGCTCTTGGATGCTTCATGGATGGGCTCAGGCGCGGCCGGCCGCACGTCGTCGGGCTCGGACAACTCGTCTTCGATCGCACCTTCAGTCGGCAGTCGTGGGTCGTCACCGCGCCCGACCGCTGCTTGGTTGTCGTCTTCGCCACTCGTGTCAAATGCTTGGGGCATGGTCGTCTTCGGCGGTGCCTTGAGGAACTGCGCCGCGTACAGCGCCAGGATCGACTCGCCCGCGCTGACGCTGGTCATGGTTGAAAATAGATTCGCAGCCGCCTGTCCCGCACTTGAGGTTCGCGCACTTGCAGCGCCGAATCTGGCGACGACCCACATTTTTTTGTGCCACGATGGCGGATCCACGGTACGACGACGTCATGCAGCCGACGGCAGCGAGGACGTGGGCGTAGGTGGGCGCAGTACTACGACCGAAGCGAAGACGTCGACATTGACGGCAACGTACGGCGCCCCAGCGGTCGGCGACGACGTCTCATGCAGCGGCCCGTAGGTCTTCCGCGTCTACCTCGCCGGCGCCGAGGGCCCGGTCGTTGTGCTCCTCCATGGCGGTGGCCACACGGGTCTCACGTGGGCCTTGACGACGGTACGCCTAGCCGATGCGGCAGTCGTAGCCCATGGTGCTGCGACTAGAAACTGCTCAAGACGCACTGCCGCGTGGTGGCGCCCGACTTTCGCGGTCACGGTAGGTCGCCGATGCTGTCGCCCTCGTCCGCACGATGGCTTGTAGGAGAGACACACACGACCAACGACAGCGATCTCTCGGAAGAGACGCTCGTCAACGATACCATTCGCGTCTTGCAGGCACTTCTGCCGGGCGAGGCGGGCACGGAGCGTGGCAGCCCCATGATCCTCGTGGGCCATAGCATGGGCGGTGCGATTGCGATCCGCGTGGCGGCCTCGGGGCTCCTCAAGACGCTCGTCGGCATGGTCGTCATTGACGTTGTCGAAGGGACGGCGCTTGCCGCACTGAGCCACATGCAAGCGGTCTTGTCCAACCGGCCGGAGACCTTTGCCAGCGAAGACGAGGCCGTGCAATGGAGGTACCATTCTTCCTACTTGTCTTGACTGCATTCTATATGTAGCTTGCAGATGGGCGCCGTGCGCAACGCCGAGTCGGCGCGCGTCTCGATCCCGTCGCAGATTGTCCGCGCCGGTGACTACTTTGTGTGGCGCACCAACCTCCGGGCGAGCGCCAAGTACTGGAAGGGTACTCATCCGCCTTGGGATCCCACGCCTATGACTCGTATAGGTTGGTTTACGGGGATTAGCGAGCTCTTCCTTGGCACGACGCTGCCCAAGGTCCTCTTGCTCGCCGGTAACCTCCTTCCTTCTCCATGCGCGGTCTTGCCATGAGGTGTAGGCACCGACCGCCTGGATACGGCGCTCACCCGCGGCCAAATGCAAGGTACACAATGCAAAGGGCAAGAAAGACCCTATACGGTCGGAGTAGGCAAGTTCCAGCTGCTCTTGATGTACGGCAGTGGGCACGTGATCCAAGAAGACTGTCCTGACAAGACGGCCGACGCGCTGCTCGAGTTTTGCTCACGCCTCGTGCCCATGAGTGGCCTCCGCACCCAGACCGACATCCTCGCCGAGAAGCTTGCGCGCGCCCGCCATCTGACGCCCCACACGACGTAGTAATACAAATACGGTCGTGTGTTTCTGGTTCTAACTCTGCGCTTCCTACATTCGACGGGCGTACTGCGCGTACTCGGCGGCGCGGGGGTCGGGGCCACCACTCGGTGGGTTGCCGTTGCTTGGCGGCGGCGCAAACCCGCCGGGGGCGGGCGGGTACCGCGACATGCCACGCTCATAGTACCCCGACGTGTCCGGCGGCGGCATGGCCGCGTACCGGTCGGCCGGCGGGTACATGCGCGGCTCTTCGCGACGAAAGCCAGCTTGGTCCGGGTATCCCGGCGCACGTTGTTGCTGCTGCTGTTGTTGCTGCTGCTCGTCCCACTCGCGCGGCGTTGGCATGCGACCCGATGCAATCGGGGGATACGACCCAGCGTTCGGCGGCGCGTCACCGGGAAACATACGCAGGCGCCCGTCGCTACTCGGTGGCAGACGGCTCGTCGACGATGCGCTCTTGTCCAAGTCTGCAATCGAGATCATGCCCCGGGGCATCGGGCCGCGCGGGTTGCTTGGCGGCGGCGCGTACCGGCCGTGCATGGCGGGCGGGACGGAGTCGCGCGCATTCGAGGCGCCGGGAGGCCCGGCCGACGGCGGCGCAGCGCCCGGCGGGTACATCATGACTCGCTGGCCCCGGTGCATACCAGGACTCGGACCGCCAGACGGGGCACTCAACCGTGCAGCTTCGCGTGGCGACTCGGCGTACCCTGCGGGTGTCAAGTGACCAGTGCGCGACGGCGCAGGCACGCCCCGGGGCACGCTTTCCATGCCAGGGTGGTGTCGGGGCGACGGCATCATGTACGGTGCGTTGGACGGCGGTGCGCGGGACCGTTCGTATTCGCGCGCCTGGTAGCCTTCGTGGAACATTTGCGGTCGCGACGTCGGGGCGCCCGTGGGCGGCGGTGGGCCGCCCGCACCCATCGCAAACCGGGGCGAAGCTTGGCGCCCCGACGGCGACGGCGATGGATACCCGCGGTTGCTTGTCGACGGCGGCGGCGCCGACCCCATGCGCATGTGGTACTCGATCTGTTCGTCTTCCATGCGACTCGGGTACCGCGAGACCGGCGGCGGCGCAGACAAACCAGGACGAGACTGGCTCAGCTCGGGCGGGTACTCGTACCCTGCGTGGTGACCATGCACACCGTGCTGCTGTGCCTGGAGCGAAGGATGGTGGCTGCCTTCGTAGTACGGACGACCCATCATCGGTGGCGGGCCACCGCGGACCATTGCAGCCGGCGGCGACTCGGGCTTGGACCGCTTGTTGATTGACGATGGTCCGTCATTGTCAAGGTGGCGCTTGTTGCCATTCGGCGGGCCTTGTGACGGCGCCTTGTTCTGGTCAAAAATCGACAGAATCGTGGCTTGGATGTCAACGGGGAAGCAGAGACGCATGAGTTCAGCGTGCATCGAGATGTACTTCATCGCGTCGAGCACCGAGTTGAAGTACTCGGGCTCGCGTGTGCTCTTGCCGGCCCACGGCGGGTAAAAGAAGAAGGACGCGCCATGCATCTCCGACTTCCACCCGTGCTCGGCCAGCAGCGGCCACGCGTGCTTCTCAAAGAGAGTCGTCAGAATGTCCAGCTCTACACACCAAATTAGGCCTTTGCTCGAACCAGTATCAAGGACAACGGAATACCTCGATCCGAGATGGCGAGCTTGTAGCCGCCGTTGGACGGCGGCGCGGCTGAAGGCGCCGGCGCTTGCATGTGTTCGGGCTTGCGCATCATGGGCGGCGGGCCGGGTTGTGCTTGGGGCGGGCCTTGGTCCCGTGGCTTGCTCCCGACGCGCTTGTCTTCGATCAAGAGGTTCATCGTGTTTTCGCGCGTGAGCTCTTCCGTGTCCCCATCGGCGTAGACCACTGTGAAGAGCTCGGTTTGCGGGTTGAATTTGACCACCTAGGTAGACACCGTGAGATCCAGTTGGCGAGGTATAAAAATGGGCTGCGTACCTGGCCGACGAAGCGACCGTGCCCGGCAAACGTCTTGGCAATGCGCTGCCCGACCAGCGCTTCGGGAGGCTGGTACGTCGGGTAGTCGTAGTCGTCGCGCGGTGCTTGTACCGACAGCTGGGGGCCCGGCGCCTGTTGGTACGGCATGTTGCGCTCGCGCGGCGGCGAGCTCGGCCGCTTCATCGCAGGCGGTTCGCTTTCAATCTGTGGACGCGACGACGGCCACGACGGGGGGCCTCCTGGACTCGGACGGTTCATCGACATGTCCATTCGGGGAGGGGCCTGTAGCGGCGGCGGCGGGCCGCGCATGTGCATGTCGTTCATGTGCGACGACGAGGGCAAGGACGGTGGACCGGGCGCGGATGGGCCGCCTTGATTTTGCCGCATGAGGTTGTTCATCGTGAGCGCGGGGAGGCGCATGTCGCCAGCACCAGCGCCATGAAGCGTCGGTAACGGCCCATCGCTCTCGGGCTTGCGCAAGTTGGGCTTTGGCAGCTCGGGCACTCGTCGCAACGCGCCCTCTTGCATGTGTCGGTCGTTGTGCATCTCGCTGCCGCGCGCCAGCAAATTGGTGAGCATCGCGCCCGTGCGCTGGATGTCGCTGGGCACGCTCTCGCGCAAACTCATCTTGTTGTCGTTGCTGGGCGTCCGGCGGTGGGCCGCCCGTCCCGGCGTTGGCCCATCCGACTCGGAGAACGACCCTTGGCGCTGGCTCGTCTCCGAGTCGCTCTCGGTCTCGGAGCCGTTGTGGACCTCGACGACGGGGCGTGGGCGCAGCATCGGGACCGACGGCAGGCCCTTGTCCGGCTTGGGTACCTTCTTCTCGGCCTCCTTCTTCTTGGGCGTAGACGGTCGTCCTCCCTCCTTCTCATGGCGTGCTTCGTCCATGCTGCTTCCCCTTCCTCCGGATCGATCGGGGCTGTGTGGTGTGGCTGGGGGTTTTCAAAAACGACTGGCACCCTTTATTCGTATACAAATAACCAGTCGCGCGGCCACATACAAACGCCAAGTACAAACGAAAGCCATTGCAACTGCGCTGCCCGTCGCCAGCTGGGCCCTGGCCTCCGGCTGGACGGAACGGTCCACCTTTGGCGACCACCAGCTGGCAGCGGACCACCGCGCCATCTGGATGAGTCCTTGGACATGTGCCGGAGATCCGCCCACGCAGTCGGTTCCTCGTACCGTGCAGGTAGCATACCAGAGTCGGATACCTCGGTACGACAAGCGCTAGTTTTCGTTTGGGTGCACCACGTGGCGCCCCAGATGGGCTGGTCTGGGTCCATCTGGATTTGGCGACACGAGCAGGTTGCGACGACCACATGGGCACCTGACGTCGTCCGCAGGCTCTCTGCGCCCAGAAGTGCACTGCGTTGGACAAGACGTCGCGGGAAGGAGGTGATGCAAGGTCGTCGTGGCCAAAGCGCGTCGATGGATCACGTACATGTGCCTCATGCAGAGGCGCGCTTGCAAAATGGCTCCGGCTTGTACAATCTGGGGACGGATCCAGCGCAGCACTGTCGGGGAGGCCTCGCGAGGTCGGGGCTGATGCATGTTGGTCATTATTGGCTCGATCGCCGGTATACGTCGACCATTGTATCGAACAACGGCCCCGGACGGAGATGCTGCATCGACATCAGCGTGCAACTCCACGCGACTTCGACACGAGGGTCCCACCGGAAGCACTGTGTCGTAGGCTTTCTCGACCTCCGCCGGACGGTCCTAACGAAAATGGGCGCCGGCTCCTTGGCTTAGGTTTACATGGTATACAAACTACCAGAGTATGCACGCAGTGCCTGGCCTAGGCGCTCAAGGCAAGGTGGTCGTCGACGAGAGCAAGGCGCTGCGCCGCAACGGCCGCGTCGACGCCGTCACCGACCCAATGCAATGGTACTTGACGGCACGCGGGCGACGCGACGACGAGCGCAATCAGATCTGATTTGCGCTGGCGCTGGCCATCTATCGAAGCGATGAGCTGCGGTCGCGTACGTGGCAGGCACGGACGGGCGAGCCGTTGGACAATGATGGGCCACGCCATGGTCTCAAAGCGTAAAAGACAGTACATGTCCTGGTCCGCGTCTAGTGTCATCACATGCAGCTCCCAATGAGCCGGGTCGTTGCGCGCGTCGTGGTACCTTGAAGGTACAGAGCGCCGAGGCGGCGCAGGATCGCAAACGCCTTTCGAAAGCGACCGAGGCGCGCGGACGCGTCCATGGGAGGCACCACGTCGACGTTGGCGACTGCGTCACGGAACCGAATGCTTGGTGGCGCCCCGTCTACGCGCAGGTGGGCACTACGACAAAGGTTTCATCGGCACCTTGAACGAGATGTGTCACGATCGCAACGGATAGCGCGTCGTCGTTGTCGGGCGTGTCAACCGGCAGCGGCAGACCAAGGAACGCGTGTCGACAGAGCGCTTCGAGAGTGGTCTCGCGCGGCGTTGGTAGCGTTGCCTCGACGTACGGCGCCCGCTACACTACATTTCTGACATGGTGTTTTGCGCACGAGTTCGCACCTGGTTGTACACGTGCTGATAGAGGAGCTGCGCTTGGGCCCAGTGCAACATTTCTGCGTTCGGGTCCGAAACGACGACGACTTTGGTCGCGTGGAGCTCGACGCTGCTTTCCCAGGATGGCTTGAGCCGGCCAAAGACATGCACGAGGTCGCCCAGTTGGCACGGCGGCGCGTCCGTCTGCCACGCGACAAAGAGCACCTCGCCCGTGCCGTCGTCGAGCAGATACTCGGCTAGAGTCAAAGAAGCATGAGACGCTGCGTTGTATGATCGGCGTACTGCGGTCGGTCTTGTGCTGCATGCTGGCCACGACGCCGACGAGCTGGGCGCGCGTGATGACGCGGCCATGGAGGCGGTAGAACATCTCGTCGCTTGTTGGCGCCGGAATCTGCAGCAGGTGGCACGCCAGCACTTTGGCATAGCTCTAGACGAGACGCGTCAAGCCACGTCGAGCAGTCGCCCTACCCAATTGAGCGGATCCATGGCACCAAAAAACCTGTGAAATCCTATGGCCTTTTTCCCGCCACTGAGAGCAACGGCAAAGTCCATGCCATTGAGTTTGAGCAAAATGGCTTCCAAATTGTATTGCAAGCACTTTCAAGACCAAACCGATCGGCGTCATTGAGTTTCATTTTGAGAAATACGCACGTTGAATTGTATCATGCGGCTGCTCGCACGATGGGATACCGAGCGGTTCCCGTGGTCGGCGATGGCCCAGCGGCTGCTACCGCTCCTGGCGGCGAACGACGCAGCGACCTTCAAGCCACTGCAGCAGGCTGCCGTGAACCTTGCGCAGCGCGGCTTTAGCCTTTTCCTGAACCTCCCCACGGGCGCGGGCAAGAGCCTCTGCTTCCAACTGCCCGCGCTGCTGCCCGCCGCGAACCGAGTCACGGTCATCGTGTCGCCGTTGCGGTCGCTTTTGCAAGACCAACAAGCCACGTTGGCACGTCTTCAGCTCTCGGACCGTGCGTGCTTTCTCTCGCCCGGGAATGTGCCCCACGCGCTCTCGGCCGAGACGCGCTTCTTGTACACGACGCCCGAGATGGTGCTCACCAATCCAAAGGCCAACGCGCTTCTCTTGCAGCTACTGCACGAAGATCGTCTGTCGCGCGTGGTCGTGGACGAAGCCCACTGCATTGTCGAGTGGGGCAGTACCTTCCGCCCTGCCTACATGGACTTTGCGCGGCTGTACCGAACACACCTGCCACAAATCCCGCTTACGTTTCTCACAGCGACCGCGTCCGACGAGCTCATTGAGGCCACCGCACGCATCTTCCACGTCGCGCCAATATCGCTGCCCGCGCTCGACGCCCCACCCTCGCCCACGTCGATGGTCCTCCTTCAGCACTTGACCGACCGTACCAACTTGACGCTCCACGTCGTCCCCAAGCCTTCACCGCCGCCGCTTCTCGCACTCGACATCCTCCGCCGCGTGCGCCACGAGCCAAGCATCGTATACGTCTTGTCGCAAAAAGACGCGGAAGCGGTCGCCAAGTCGCTCGTGGCCGTCGGCGCGCGGGCACAGCCATACCACGCCGGCATGTCGGACGCCGCGCGGAAGAGCGTCCAGTACCAGTGGATGAGCGGGAAGATCTCGATCATTTGTGCGACTGTGGCCTTTGGGGTAGGTATGCATTCGCCGATGGCGTTGACGCGCATCCTCGTAGATGGGCATTGACCGGTCCGATGTCCGCCACGTGGTCCACCATGCGCTGCCTCTCTCGCTGGCGTCGTACATGCAGCAGATTGGTCGAGCAGGTAGGTGGACCTTGTCCTTGTATGGACCTGACGCTACGACCAGGCCGCGACGGCGCGCCGGCCGTGTGCACGCTCTACTACGACCCGAGAGACGCCTCGCGCGCCGCCTACATTGCGAGCGGCGACGGGTTTGTGGACGCCAGCACGTCTCATGGTCTCCGCGACGTTGTCGAATTCATCGAAGAAAGAGGGTGTCGGCGCCAAGTGCTCTATGCCCACTTTGGCCACTCGTTGGACGACGCATGTTGTGAAAATTGCAACTGCGGCGTCTCGATCGACCTGCCGACTGATGCCAACGAGAGCAGCGAGCGGCGCGTCCATCGGTCCAGTGACGCTGCGCGGCAAGACGCGAACGACCTCGAGCGCCTCTACCATACGCTGCAACAGACGCTCCAGCGGCGTCCCAACTACCGCAAAGCCAACGTACTTTCGCGCAAGACAATCCAGGTAGCGTGCTGACTTTGTGGCATATCGGCATTCAATTTCGGCAGAGTCTTTTGGAGCTGCAACCCGAGAGCGCCGACGATCTGCAGCTTGTGCGCGGTCTCAACGTCGCACAGAAAGCGTTTGTCGTTGAGCACTTGCATATGTTTCAGGCGCCGCGCGGTCGGGCGTAGCGCCAGGTCCACGAGTCTTTTTGTTGATACACTGAAAGATTGATACGATATCTTTTGTATCTTTGAAAAAGACGCTACGGAGAGGACGTGGCGACATAGTACATATGGAGCTCCTTCCATAAAAGCGGCACGAGGCAGAGAATCGAGAGCACGCTCCCAATCTCAAGGAGCGAAAACACCGGCTGCCACGAGCACTCTTGGCCGGACGGCGTCGTGTGGCAGTTGGCGAGATACCCGACGAGGTACTGCACAATGGCCGCGCCGACGCTGCCAGTGCCGTCAATGATGCCCGTGACGGTCGCGAGCGCCGCCGTGTTACCGCGTAGTGTCGGGCACGTGCCCAGGTCCGCGGAGATCGCCGTGCTGATCAAATTCGCAGGCCCACCAAGAAGAAACCCAGAGACAAAGAGGAGGATGCCAATGCCATCCTTGGATGCAGCGTGGAACGACGGCAGGAGACACCTAACAACAATGAGAAACTGCAGCGAGAGTGGCGAAATGTACGTGACAGAGGCCAGCATTGCCACGATCGTCGGCGTCCGCATGCCCATGCGATCCGTAACGTAGCCGCCGAGGAAGCCGCCGAGGATCTGCCCCGCGTCATAGAGCATCTACAGCGAATGTATCAATATATCGAGTGCAAATTGGTGTCGTCGCATACCGAAAAGTAGTCGGCCGTCGAGTCTTCCATCTTGAGCGAGACCGTGAGGTAAAACGGTAGCCAAAAGAAGAGCGCATAGTTGACCGACTTGACACACGCGTACGAGAGTGCGTAGGGGATGACCTAGCCCACATCATTTGTCTCGGAAAGTAACCTTTTGATATCTACCCCAGGGATCCGCCACGCCCGCCAAAACGAAATGCCCTTGGGCGTCGCGTCTTCTTTGAGAAGCAGCATTTGTCCGTCGTCGACATCGTCCGATGAGAGGCGCTTCGAGCCTGGCGACGGCTGCAAAAAGAGCCAAATCAGCAGCGTGTGCAGTCCGACGAGGACGCCCGAGACGATCATGGACGTTCGCCATGCGTCAACCTTGTTGGGAAAGAGGTTGAAGAGAAGCGCAATGACCGCGGTCCCGACAATGTTGCCAAAGCACGCGTTGCCGCTCCAAATACCCATGACCGCTAGACGACGTGCATGAGCCACTGCATGTACAGGCGCGTCAACGTCGTACCGCCACGCTCGCGCGCGCTAAACCAGTTGCCCCTAGTACATGACAGTATATGACTATACGTAGAAGAAAGACGAAGGAGTACATGACGGCGACGTTGGACGGCCAACCGACGGACTGGATGAGCCCGTTGAGCGCCCACAGAAACGCGTAAAAGCCGAGCGAGTGGACGTTGGCAAAGGCGGCAACGCCAAAGAGCACCATGATGAGCGCTGTGAGGCCCATGCCGCCGGCGAGGAGCTTGCGCAGGTCGTAGCGATCGCCGAGGATGCCACTGCATGCGCATCGTCGTCGTAATGATCAAAAGCATGGCATATGCATACCTGACGTAGAGACCCACTGCGTAGAAGCCCATGAAGAGCGTGTCCATGAGGCCATACATCTTGCCTTGCTCCGACTTGGCGTAGAAGATCGAGTCCATCCACTCTTCCTTGCTCATCTCGCCCTTCACGGCCGAGAAGGACTTGCGCGAGACGTGGAACATGACATAGCTGAAGAACGTGAGGAAGAAGACGGCGGTCTTCTGCCCGCGGGTCGAGGCCATGGCGTGCGTGCTACTGGCGACAGCAAAGTCGAGGTGAAAGGTAGATTCCGTGGCGATCTTCGTCATTCGGTTAATTTTCCAATTTAACCGGATAGGACATCCAACCGGCTGCGTGATACAAATCCCGTGCCGGATGTCACGACCCGCCAGCGAGGTAAGCTTAGTGCTTATTGCGCACAGGGCGGCAGGTCCTATGCTGCCGTTGAAGTCCTCGGCTCGGGCCAGGGTCTACGGTCCGCGCTGACGGCGGCGTCGCGGTGTCGCACGTGTGGTTCACGCTGGCGGCGCGTGATTGGCGGAAATGTCGACTTCAACTTGTGCATTCATGTGGCACCTGGTGCCGAAACTACTACCTTTAAAAATGGCATGTGCCACTGTGGGACCGCCAAAGATACAAAAGCGACAGTTCGTTCCAAGCGAAGCGTCGTCGTGGCAACTCGGCAGCATGGCCACCGACCACCGGGCGTCCGTGACGATCTCGCAGCTGCCCATGTGGGGCCGGCCGACGACCGATGCGACCGAGAAGCTGGTCGACCTTGCCTACAGCTGCACAAAGCTCATGCGACCTGTAGCGCCCGAGCCAGCTCTTACACGAGCTCACGTCCAAGAACGCCAAGGGCTCCAAGGGCTCGATCCCGCGCATCATCGAGGTAGATACGGCTTCGAGGATGCGAGATGGACGCGTAATCGCATGTAGTTTATGAACCTCGAAGACCACACGTCGCAGAGCGCGTCGTCCGTGCCCGTAGACCGCCCGCTTTTTGAGCCCACCCCGGGCGCGATCCTCTTTGACGAGTACATTCCGTTCAATACGCACTACGCCAAGCTCGCGCTGCGCAACAACGACACGGTCGCGCGTCGCATCAAGATGGAGCCGCCCGACTCGCCGTTTTTCAAACTCAAAAAGCTGCACGGCGCCGAACGCGACGGCAAGGTCGCTGCCGGGATCGAAGTGGCGTACCAAATCGAGTTCTTACCGCAAGAGCGGCGCGAGTATGCGCTCGACCTTATCTGCGTCACCGAGCGCGAAAAATTTGTCGTGCCTGTCCGCGCGCGGGGCACGTTTGCCGCGCTGAGCTTTCCGGACGAAGTTGACTTTGGACTTTGCCCGGTCAAGATCAAGTGCTCCAAAGTCATGACGGTCCACAACGTTGGCACGCGGGGCGCCAAATTTGTCTTGACAGCGTCGGCGCCATTTACCGTCTCGCCCCAGACCGTCTACTTGGACATTGGCGCAGCGATCCAAGTCGAAATGGAGTTTCATCCCAAGCACACGAAAGAGCGCGAAGGCGAGCTCGCCATCCAGGACGACAGCGGCCGCGCGTCGTACGTCAAGCTCCTCGGTGATGTGACCAACCTCGAGGTATACCTGAGCCACCCGATGGTCGAACCGACGCCGGCGTACTTGACGCTGAGCTCGCGCAAGCGCATCAAGATCTGCAACGGAAGTGATCACCCGGTCGAGTTTTCGTGGAAAGCGTACGCTGGAGAGAAGAGCGAAGAGACTGAGCGCGCGCGGCTTTTGGACGAGCTCCGACGCATGGAAGGTGCCGAAGTCGACAACCTTGGCGAGTGCAGTGACGACGAGCGCGTCGACCTCATGGGCATTCTCCACCGCAAGTATAAGAACCTGCGCAAGGCCGTCTACGACGACCCAATGAACTTTGTGGACGAGTGCTTCTCGCTCGAGCCGCCGAGCGGCAAGATCTGGGCGCACTCGGACGCAGAAATTACTGTGACCTTTGTACCACACGTCGCCGCGAGCTACGCAGGCACGGCGTTCCTCGACATCTCGGGTCGCGACACGCGCTTGCCGCTGCAGATCCGGGGGCGTGGCATCGGCCCGCAAGCGTGCATTCTCTACGACGACCTCTTTGACTTTGGCGACGTCTTTATCAACGACCCGCAGACGCATGATTTTTCGATTCAAAATCGCGGCGAGATCCCCGCCGAGTTTGCGCTCTTGCCGATTCCGTTGCCCAATGGCGTCGACATAACGTTTGCTCCGTCCAGTGGTGTCCTTGGCATTGGCGAGACCTCCAAAGTGTTTCTGACGTTTGCCTCGGCGGTTCTCGGCGAGATTAGCATTACGTTCAACTTCAAACTCAAGGGCTCGGACGATCTCCTCCGCGTGCGCTTCAAGGCGCATGTGATTCCCCCCATGTTTCACTTTGATGTCGAGAACCTCGACTTTGGCATCGTGTCGTATGCGTTCGAGCAGTCCAAGACCGTCCACCTCATCAACACGTCGCGGATCGCAATGACGTACAGCCTCCGCATTCCGCAAGACGGTCTCTACAAGCACCAAGAGTTTGTGCTCTCGCCGGCCCACGGCACGTTGGCGCCCTTTGGGACGCAAGCGATTCACATTGCGTTTACGAGCGTCAACGTCAAGAGCTACGAGTACTTTCTAGTTGTGAGCGTCCAAGGCGTCGGGTCCGACCTGCTCAACATCCCGGTCCTCGCGCAGTGCTTTGTGCCTGACGTCCACGTCCTCAAACCCGACTTGGTGTACGGCGACTGCTACCTCCGGTACGCCCATCTCCAGACGCTCCATTTGATCAACACGAATGCGCACTTGCCCGCCAAGTATGAGATTGTCGCCCAAGACGACCACTCGAAAGTCGTCGCTGTCTTCTCGGGCGACAAGCCCAGCGGGGACATTGGCGCCAACGCCACGCTCGCGATCGATATCGCTTTGGTCTGCGAGAAGCTCGGGAGCATCCGCCTTCCGCTGTACGTGCGCATTGCCGGCTCGATCGATTTGCCGCTTTCGGTGACGATTGTGGCCATGGGCCGAGGCCCGAGCGTGCTGTTAGACGCCGAAGAGCTTGCGTGGGGCCCCGTCTCGTGTCTCGTGGACCACCCAAAGAGCCTTCGCTTGACCAACACGAGCTTGATTCCGGCGCCGCTCAAGACATTTATTCGCAACGCGCGGTCCAAATTCACCGTCGACCAAAAGGAGTATACGCTCGCACCGGGCGAGACGACCGTGATGACCATTGTCGCGAATCTCGACGATACGATCGTGTTCAAAGAGCAGCTGCACATTCTCGTGACCGAAGGCCACAACCTACTGATTCCGCTCTCGGCCAAAGGCATGGGCACGACCATGTGGTCGCCGAGCGACATGAAGCTCGTGGACTTCCAGTTTCAGATGACCAACAAACAATGCGAGTGGAGCTGCACGCTCGAAAACAAGGGCAAGCGCGGTCAAACGCTGGTGTGGATCAACAAGACCATTCGGCAGCAGCAGATCGAGCTGCTCCAAAAAGCCAAGACGCTCCAAAAGACGTCGAGCAAGGCCAGCGTCAAGTCGTTCGACGTCGGCGACGACTTGACGCCGGTCTTTTCGGTGTTTCCGGCGTCCATTGAGCTCAAGCCGCGCACCGCGTGCACGTTTTACTTTCGTGGCTTCTCGGCGACGCCCGGTGTCATGCGCGAGGAGCTCATTTGTGAGACGCGGATCGGCCAAGAGAAGAACGCCAAGGTGGCGTTTGCGACCGAGATTGTCGCGCAGTTTATCAACCCCAAGATCGAAGCGTCGTTGCCGAGTGGGCTCGACTTTTCCTACATTTACGCCGACGGCGTCGTGATGGAAACACAGTCGCAAGCGCTCAAGCTGCGTAATGTGTGCGAGCTCCCGCTCTCGTTTGTGCTCCGGACCCAAGTACCGTTTGCCGTCGACACGTGGGAAGCGGTATTGCAACCAAACGAAGCGCTCGACCTCAACGTCGAGTTTTACCCAGGGTACAAAGACGACCACCTGAGCCGCATCATCAACGGCAAGCTCGTGCTCAGCTATACGGGGCACCCGCAGCGCGACAGCTTGGACTTGCGCGGCGAGATTGGGTTTCCCAACTTGGAGTTTGAGTACTCGCGCATCGACTTTGGCTGCATTTTGAACGACACGCAAAAGTCCATGCACGTCAAAGTCACCAACATCTCCAAGGTCCCGACCTCGTTCCACTGGGTGTTTATTGAGGACGAGAAGGAGGCGCGGGCGGCCGCGACCGTCAAGCGGCCGTACATTCCCGTCAACCAAGTGTTTGACATTCTTCCGATCCGTGGCAACTTGCAGCCGGGCGAAGTCGAAGTCGTCGAATTCATCTTTTATGGCCACGCGAACCGCAAGTTCAAGAGCCTCGTCGCGTGCGAAGTCAACGGCGGCCCCGAGTATGAGCTCACGTTGGCCGGCGAAGCGTCGTCGGTGACGTACCGCCTCGACCGTCCGTACTTGGATTTTGGCCCCGTCATCTACAACAAGGCCGAAGACCGCGAGTTTGCGATTCAGAACCTCGGCAAGGTCGCGTTTGGCTTCAATGTGTCGCTGGAGAAGCTCTCGCGGGCCGGCGTCGTCGAGGTGTCGCCGATGGCCGGACGCATCTTTGCCAACGACAAGCAGCGCATCTCGATCCGGTTCAAACCCGGCATTCCCGATACGCTCGTCGAGAGCATTTGGCTCGAGATTGCGCACTTCCCCCCCGTCGAGTTCAAGCTCTACTGCCGCGGCATCTTTGCGTCTCTGAGCGTCAACCTCCCACGCGGCAAGACGCACCCCAACTGCGCGATCGACAATGTGCAACCAAAGTGGCGCGACGTGCTCAAAGGCGCCAAATACAACATTGAGCACCCGCGCACGTCGTCGCTACCGCCCACGACCGCCGTGACATGCGAGGCCGCGACGCTCGGCTTGGCGCGACCCAACTCGCGCGCGCCGGTTGCGCAGCCCAAGCTCAACAAGGACGGGGTTCCCATGACGGCCGTCTCGACCGAGCGTACCTCCCGCACGACGGCGCGGGTGACGACGCGCAACACCAATGCGGCGCCAACCAACTCGACTGCGCGGAGCCAGAAGTCGCCCATGAAAAACTCGGCGTCGGGCGACTCGTTCGATATGCTGACGCGCGGCCAGCACTACGACTCGGTCGACATTGACACGGAGGCCTGTCGCATGCTCTTCGTCAAGTACCTTTTGACGACGATCCCCGAAGAGCCGCCGACAGAGTCGCCTCGGGACGACAACAATCTAACGCACCACGGCAGTACTGGTGGACACCCCGGGACGCAGCCCCGCTTCAGCAACAACAACAACAGTCATCACGGCAGCACCAACCCGCCACTTCTCGAGCTCGTGACGGTACCCAAGCTCAGTATCCATCCGACGGGGCCAATGGACCGCGCCAAAGTCAAGTCGTTCACCAAGACACTGCCACCGACCGACGGCGACGGCGACGGGAGCGAGTCCCCGACCAAAGCTCTGCAAGGCTTTCTCCTCGCGCAATACATTCTCGACTTTGGCAACGTCGTCACCGGCACCCACCGCGTCAAAAAGTTTGTCGTCACCAACACGGGCCATGTACCAGCCTCGTTTCAAGTCGACAAGAACCTCGCGCTCGGCCGCGGGTTTGCGATCGACCCGGAGCGCGTCGTGCGCTTGCCCGAGAAGAAGGGCGTTGAGTTCAGTGTGACGTTTACTGCGCGCAAGAACGGCCGGCACGGCCCCCACGGTGTCAATTTGCTCTTGGATGTCAAGAACGGACCGCCGAGCTTGGTGACGTTCAAAGCCAACGTGACAGTGCCCGACCTCGTGCTTTTGGCGGAAAACCTCGACTTTGGCAAGGTTGTCGTCGGGCGGTCGCATGTCGTCCACTCGCAGTTCTTCAACAACTCGCCCGTTGTTGTCGAGTGGGCGCTCAAGAAACCCATGGGGTCGGCCCGCGACGTGGGGTACTTTCGCATGGAGCCGACCGGCGGGCTCCTGCATCCTGGCACGCGCTGCAACATCAAGGTCGAGTTCATGCCGCTCGAAGGACGACTGTACCATGTCAAGGTGCCCGTCAAGATCTCGTCGAATCCCAAGACGCGCTCGATTACGTGCCAAGGCGAAGGCTCAGAGCTCCGCGTCTCGTTCGACCCACCCATGGCCGAGCTCGGGCCCGTGCTGCCGTGCTCGCCACCCATCGAGCGCATCGTGATTATGCGCAACGAGTCCGACCACGCGGTGGAAGTCTACTCGCTCGACTTTGACGCTCAGTACAAGAGTGAAGAAGACATGCTGCGAGAAGCGTCCGGCTACGGCGACGACGACTACCTCCGCCTTCCACTGCGGCTACCGGGCACGGGCTTGCCCGAGCACATATTGCTCGAGTACAACCAGCGCAACCAAGAAGAGCCACCGCCTGTTGAAGCGGCGACGACCGCCGAGGCGGACATGGACGAAGAGGACACGCGGTCGCTCCGTGCAAAAGAAAAGGCCGTCGACTACATCTTTCTGGGGCCCCCTCTCTGCGGCAAGACGACGCAGGCCAAGCTCATGGGCGAGAAGGAGCACTTGGTCGTCTGGACTTTCGACGATGCCGTCGCGCTCTGCGCCAAGGACGAGTCGGACATTGGCAAGCGTGTGCGCAAGGCCTTGGAGCTGCCCCTTCTCGCATGGGATATGATCAAGCCCACGACGCCGGAAGAGCCCGAGGCTGTTGCAGCGCACGACAAGAAGGGCAAAAAAGACGGCAAGAAGAGCAAAACCGAGCTTGACGAGGTCAAGGACGAGCCGCCGCCCATGACACCACCACACGAGCCGTCGCCGCGCGAAGAGATGGGACTCGACCTGCTCGAGTGGGTGCTGCAGTGGCGTCTCTCCCAGCCCGACATGGCCAACGGAAGTGTTTTGGACGGCTGGTCCACGACGTATGCGCCCGACAGTTCGTCGCTTCTCCACGTGATCGCCAACGTTCTCGGTGGCGCCACCATCATCCTACTCGGCATGAACGAAGACATTTACGAAGCCCACATCCTCGCATGCATCAAGCACGTTGAAGACGATATGGACATGCTCGAGCGGTCGCTCGACATGATGCAAATGGTACCCGAGGAGCCTCTGCTCGAAGCGATCGAGCCGATTGAGATGGTGCCGGAAGAAAAGGAGGAGAAGCGACCGGCGAGCCACTCGCGTTTAAAGTCGAGCGTCAGCTCCGACACTGTCGTGGTCGAGCCACCAGCTGTGGTCGCGGAGCCGCCGCCGCCAACACCCGAAACCATCGACCCGGTGCAAGTCGAGCACGAGCTGCATACGTACCGCCTGCTCTCGGAGCGGCTGCACGAATACCTCGACTTGGAGCTCTACGACAAGTACTGCCAAGAGCTTGTCGCGCACAAGAAGGAGTGGGAAACGCTGCTTTTGCGGTTGCCACCGCCACCGCCGCCACCGCCCACGTCCGAGTTGCCACTGCAGAACGGCGAGCCCGACGGGGCCCTCAGCGACCGCAGTGGGGTGCACGAACACCCGTCCACATCGACCGACGCGACGACCGCGGACGACGAATCGGGCATGCCGTCCATGGCCGCCGACTACCCCGAGCTCGTCACGGACGACGCTATCGAAGCACCAGAGCACTTGGTGGCGCGCAAGCCGCGGCGTGTTCTCGCCCTCCACGATGTCAACCTCAACGAAGTTGGACCGCCACTGCTCTTGCACGGTCTCGTGTTTGCGTCGATTGAAAAGTACTTGCGCGAGCTGGCGTCGAGCAAGCTCGTGATGCCGGCGCCCATGACGTACCAGCTCGTCAAGCGGCCGTATTTTCGGAGTCAGCGCAAGCCCGTGCCGCGCTTTAGCCTCTCACCACCGGACGTGAGCCGGTGGATCTTGCCGCCGCAATCGGAGATTTCGTTTCACGTCACATTTGCGTCGTCCGACGTGGGCACGTTCGATAGCACGCTCGGGTTTGAGATCCTCGGGAGCAAGCGCGAAGCGAGTCTCTTCTGCCGCGGCATTTGTGCCGTGCCGGGCATCAACGCGGACCCGCGCAACGTCTTTATGAGTCGCGCCAAGCACAAGGCGGACGGTGCGCTCGTGCACAAAAAATTTGTCTTGTCGAGCGGCGTGTACGAGTTTGGGCCGCTCTTGCTCGGCAAAGCGCGGGAGCTCCGGCTCGAACCCATCGCCTCGGACGCATACAAGGCGACGCGCAAGACCAACGCCGAGGTGTTTCGCATCTCCAACCCGAGTCGATTCCGCGCGCAGCTGCATTTTTTCTTTGAGAAGCAGCCGCCAAATGACGACATTGGCGTCGACGGCGACGCAGCGTCGACAAATGCGGCTGCCCATACCTTTCTCGTCGAGCCAAATAGACTCGAGATTGCCGAAGGGGACACGGCCGAGGTCCTCGTGTGGGCGTTTCCCGCGAAAAATGGGGTACTTGATGACACGCTCGTGTGCTGTATTGCCGACAACCCCGAGCCAGTGACGTTTCCAATTTCATGCATTGGGTGCGCGCCGTTGATTGCGCTCAATGGGCCGTGGACCGAGAGCGCCAAGCTCATCGACTTTGAGAGGCTCTTGCTCAAGCGCCAAGAAGACAAGACGTGGAGTCTCCGCAATGCGTGTGAGCTGCCCATCATTTGGCGCCTTGTGCTCGACGTGCCGACCGAGTTTGAAGTCGTGCCTCGCGACGGTACGCTCAAGCCCGGCCAGTCGCAAACCATCGTTGTTCATTTCAATGCAGCCACCGAAGGGCTCTTTGAGTTTGGGATTCCGATCGAGTTTGCCGATCTCGAGGGCGGGCTCGTTGGCAGTAACCCGCATCTGCGCCGGGACAGCATCAAGGTCAAGGCCGAGGCCTACAAAATTGACGTGTGCTCGTTTGACGAAGAGTCGCCCGACCCGAGTGCCGAGAGTCTCAACGGCGTCTTGGACTTTGGCCTCCTCCGCGTAAGCGATACGCCCACCAAGGCCTTTTCGCTCCGGAACCGCGGCAAGTACGATATCAAAGTGATGCTGTCCGTCAAGCGCAACAAGGATTGGTGCAAGATCAACCCGGTGGACGCGACAATTGCGCCCGGAAAGAGCCAAAAAATTGAAGTCACGTTCCTCTCGAGTGTCTCGGGCGAAATCGTGCTCCGCGACTGCAAGGACATCAAGTGCGTCATTTTAGAACAAACGACCGGCGAAGTCTTTAACGAGTTTCCCATCTTGCTGCACGCGCGCGCCGTGTACTCGAAATTTCGCTTGCAGCCCGCGCGCGGCCTCAGCTTTGGCTCGTTGCGCTTCAACGAAGAAAGGAAGGTCAAGCGCCTCGAGCTGCGCAACGACGGTGAATTTGCGTTCAAATTTCGCTTCAAAACGGACGTCATGGACGACGCGGCCAGTGTCGACGAGACCAAGCCCTTGGTGCTCGGGCAGTTTTCGATTCTGCCGGCCGGTGGCAGCTTGGACCCGGGACGCATCGTCGCCATTGACGTTGGCTTCCAGCCCCAAGGCGCGGCGGTTTATCGCGAAAACGTCCGACTGGATATTTCGGGGCGCGACCCGCACAATGAGAACGAGACGGCCATGCTGCAGTACGAAGTGACGGGCGAGAGCTGCTACCCGGGCATCAACACGAACGACATGGAGAGCATTTTCGAAGAGCAGGCGGTGGTCCAGACCTTTGGCTCGGGCCACACACACTGCCTCGAGCGCAACCAACCCATGTTTGCAGAGACCGAGCGGCTCTTTGACTTTAGCGCCGTCTTGGTCGGCAAGAGCATCGTCGAACGGTTCAAAATCTCCAACCCGACCAAAGTGCTCGCAACCGTTCGGTTTGCCATCAAGGCGCCGACCGAGTCGAAAGACGAGTCGGGACTGAGTATGTTTACGGTGCAGCCCACAGTGTGGGACATTCCGCCGCACGAACACCGGTACGTGAACGTCCACTTCAAGCCCACGAACATCACGACGTACCATGCGCTCTTCTCTGCGGTCGTCGACGACGGCGCCGACCCGAGTACAAACGTCCTGCAATTTGACATGCGGGGCGAGGGCACGATGCCCTGCATCACGATCGAGAAGCCGACAACGCGCGAAGGCAACGTGCTGAGCCTTGCGTTTGGCAAGCAGCGCGTCGGGAAGGGCCGCGAGCTGCCCTTGGTTTTGCGCAACGACGGTCTCGTACCGTCGACAGTGCTCTTTTCGATGCCGTCGAGCACCAACTTTACGTTATTGGAAGCCGCGGCGACGACGAGCGGCCTACTTTTGCCGCCCAAGAAGACGCATACGATGTCGGTCCTCTTCAAGCCGATTAAAGCGCACGACGAGATGTGCAGCGTGCAGCTCAAGCTCAGCGTGCAATACAATCCGTTCGAAGACACAATCATCAAGCTCAGCGGCCAAGGCTACAAGGAGCTCGTGACTTTGGACGGTCTCGTGGACGACGACCACATCGTGTTCAACGACGTCGATATTGCAACGGCGACGACCGCGAATATGCGCTTTGGCTTGCGGAACCAGTCGTCGACGCACGTGGTTCGTTTTGCGTTTGGCGCGCACCCGCTGCTCAAGTTTGTACCGACGACCGGTCATTTGTATCCCGGCGCGCACGCGAGCATCCTTGCAACATTTGCGCCACCACCAGGCGTCGCAACGGTCCTTGACAAGGAAAAAATCCCAATCACACTCAGTCGCATCAAGCCGGCGGTCGACGCGCCGTGGGACGACACCATGTCGACACTTTCGTTTGTTGAGGCCGATGCGACGCCGTCCAACGCGACAGAGCCATCGTATGAAGCGCTCGACCCGCCGCTGCCACCGCTCACGGCGCTGGTGTTTGCGGTCGCCGACACGCTGCGCTACAGCTGCAAGACGACCGAGATTGCGTTCAAAAAGACGTTCATGTTTCAAGCGTGCACAACAAAGTTCAGCGTCAAAAACGAAAGCAAAGTGCGGTTGCCGTTCACGTGGACGTGGAGCCAAGAGTTTCTGCAGCTCCCAGACGTGACGGCGTCGTCCATGGATACGCCGTGTCCGTTCAGCATCGAGCCCGACGCCGGCGAGATAAGCGCCGACGATACGCAGGACTTCCTCGTCCGGTTTGCGCCGATCGAGGTCGCCCACTACGTCTACCGGCTCGAGGGCCACCTCAAGAACGGTGACATTATTCGCATTAGCGTGCGTGGCACGTCGCTTCGACCTGTTTGTCATGTCGACGTCGAGCCAAGCGACTATGCGCAGCGGCGGTCGTTGGCGATGGTCGGGCCGGGCGGCGAACTTGGGCCACTGGACCCGAGCGTCCGTGTTGTCGAGTTGGAGTCGCTCGGGATTCGTGTGCGAAACACGCGTCGCTTCTACGTCATCAACCCGACCAACGTCTCGTATGAGTTTGCGTGGGTCCCCGAGGGCCCGCATGTGAACCCGGCCTTTCGCTGTGCGACGCCAAAAGGGCTTATGCTCTCGGGGAAGCGCTGCGAGATGGTCTTTGAGTTTACACCGACCCAGATGGAGCTGCAAGAGATGTTTTGGCGGCTCAAGATCGACCAGTTTGGCGTCGACCAACTCTTTTTGTTTGTGGGCACGACGACCGAGCCGCGCGTGCTCCTCGACCGGGGCAGCGTCAACTTTGCGACGCTCCTCCTCGGATCCAAGGCGTCGCAAACCATCTATTTGACCAACCAGGAGCATTTACCGTTCAACTTTGCGTTTGAAAAAGTCCACTTTGTCGGCGAAAAGCCCGTGCTACTCCTGACGCCGCTCTCGGGTGTCGTGCCGCCCCACGGCCGGACAGCGATTGACGTCGAGTTTGCACCGAACGAAGAAAAGCTGTACAACTTCAACCTCGGCTGCACGATCAAACGCAAGCCGTCGCGGCTCTCGCTCAACGTCAAAGGCGAGGGGTATGCGATCCACGACCACGTCATCGTGCACGACGACACTGCCGGCGGCATGCTCGACGCGATCGAGCCGTCGTCGTCGACACCGATCGACTTTGGCACGGTCCGCGTGCACGAGAAAGCGCGGCGCAGTATCGTGCTCTCGAACGCCGGCAAGTTCAACTTTGAGTTTACCTTTGCGTGGGCATCCGCCAAGCATCCGATGCTGACGCTCGAGCCGAGCAATGGGACGGTCCGAAAGAACGACAAGGTGGTCTGCCACCTCACGTTTGCACCCACAAAAGAGACGTCGCTCGACGGCCAGCGCATCGTGTGCACCACCGCGGGCTCGCGCGAGTATGCGTTCCCGATCCATGGCAACGCGGTGCCGCCGGCCGTCGATTTTTCGTTCACGGCGCACGACTTTGGCCCGTGCTTTATCGCCGAGCCGGACGCGGCGCCGATGGTGGAAACCATGACGCTGCGCATCACGAATATGGACCACGAGATGGACATCAGTGTCGACTGCAGCTACGAGAAGCGGCCGTTCTTGCACGTCACCGTCCAACCCACGGTGCTCGGGCCCCACGAGACGCTCGACGTGCCGATTACGTTTACGGCGCGGCACGAAGGGCCGTACGAAGAGGTGGTGCCGTTTACGATCAACGGCAACACGACCATCAATGTCGTGCTGAGTGGCGAAGGCATTTACCCAAAGATCGAGCTCGCCATGGCGGCGTCCGTGGTTCATTTTGGGACGCTCCAGATCGGGCAGAGCGTGAGCCGCATCGTCAAGCTCGTCAACCGTGCGAAGCGCAAGACGCCGTTGGCATTGCTTGCGAGCCACATGCACGACATTGGCCTGAGTATCTTTCCGCAAACCGGCATCTGGATCAAGCCGCGCGAGACGCTCGATGTCGAGCTGCGGTTTTCGCCGCCGCGGCGCGTGACGCCGTTCGAAGAAGAGCTGTGTGTGGACGTATGCGGCACGAAGAAGAAGCTCGTGACGCTCACGGGGGCGTGCCAGGGCATGGACGTGCAGTTTGAGACGGAGAACCTCAGTTTTGGCCCCGTCGTGCTCGGGTCGCAGCTCGTGCGGCGGCTCTTGCTGCAAAACCGAGGCGACCTTGTGGCCAAGTTTCAATGGGATTTGAAGCGGCTTGGACCCGACTTTAGCATAGCGCCAAGCGAAGGCGTCGTGCTGCCAAACCAAGACAAGTCGTTTGAGATCACGTTCCGGCCGCTCAAGATCAACGACGACATTCGGCTCGAGAAAATTTTGTGCGGCATCGAGGGCGGCGACTTTCTGACCATGACGTTCACGGGCGCGTGCGTTGGCCAGCTCGAGACGTCGATCAAGGAGCTCGTGTTTGAGTCGCGTGTCCGGCGCGAAGTCGCCAAGGAAATCTCGATTGAGAACAAGACGGGCAGTCCGTGGAACTTGATCCCGATGGTGCAGGGCGAGCACTGGCGCTGCGCCGAGAACGTGGCCGTGCCCGCGAATGGAAAAGCCGTCATGCAGCTCTACTACATGCCGTTGAGCATGACCCAAGCGGGCGAGACCGCCGGCTACGACCGCCCCAAAGCGCACAAGGGCTCGCTCTTCCTCGCGATTCCGGATGGGAGCGCGATCTCGTACAACTTGGTCGGCACCGCGGTCGAGCCAGATGCGCTCGACACGTTGAGCTTCAAGACGCCGGCAAAAGCATCCTTGCCGATCAAGTTGCCACTGGTCAATTGGCTCAAGAAGAGCGCCCAAGTGTTCCACGTCACGATTGAAAACGTGACGCAGTGCGCGTCGACGTTCGTCCAGGGCGCCGACACGATCACGGTTCCCCCAAATGCGACGCGCGAGTATGGGCTCAAAGCCTTTGCGTACCTTGAAGGCATAAACGAGCTCAAGGTATCGTTCACCAACAACGAGAGCGGCGAGTATGTCTTCTACGACGTGCGCATCGACGTCACGCCGCCCGTGATCGTCGAGACACTCTCATTCCACGCGCCCGTGCGCCAGAGCATCAAGAAGCTCATTACGATCGAGAACCCGTTCCCGCCGTCGCGCAGCATCCAGTTTGACGACAAGAGCTTCTGGAGCTGCTCGTCACCGAGTGTCCGTGTTCGGCGCGTCGGTGAAATGACCGGCCGGTCCGAAGGCTCGTTCGAGGTCGAGTACCGGCCACTCCTGCACACGGTCGAGGCGATCGAGGCGACGCTCACACTGCGGAGTCCGCAGCTCGGCGAGTACCCGTACAAGTTGTCTTTGGCCACGTCGCCGGCAGGCATCGAGAAGATCCTGCACTTTACGGTGCCCTTGGGCGGCAGTCAGACGCAAGCGTTCCGCTTCAGTACGTATGCGTCCAAGCCCATCGACTTCAAGTGCAGTGTGCAGCAGCCAACGTTCTTCAACGTCGCGCCCTTGCTCAAGACCGATGTCACAACCTGGGATGGCACCGAACAGACCGTGGTCGTCAAGTTTGAACCCGAAGCGCTCGGTGACATTCGCGATACGCTGGTCGTCGCGTCGGACGCCGGCGGCGAGTACAATTGCACGCTCCTCGGGCAGTCGGTCCCGCCGGTACCCCAGGGCCCGTTTGTGTTTGGGACGACCCAGGACGTTGAGTTCAAGAACGTCTTCAACGCCCCGCGCGAGTTTGCCTTTGCGATCGACGGCGCCGGGTTTTCCGTCAACACTGCGACCGTCACGATCGCTGCCAAGTCGGCCAAGGTCGTGACGGTCAAGAACACGGACACGAGCGCGCGCGCGACGCCAGTGACGGGCAAGCTCCTCGTGACGTGTCCGAGCCTGCCCGAGCTGCCGCCGTGGGTCTTCTACCTCGAGGGCGAAAGCCGGGGCTGAAGGATTTATATATGTACATAAACCATTAGGAATCAAAAGTCTATTAGAGTATATCGTCGCTGTATATAGTTGTATATCGGGAGGTTTATCGGTCGTGCTTGGAGACGAAGAGGACCCCGTTCTTGAACCGGCCTTGGGTCGCCATCGTGCCAGCGTCGCCGCGCTTCTTGGACACCTTGGCGGTCGTCTTCTTCTTGCCCGTGACGATGCCGGACGCCTTGACGAGCTCGGCGTGCTTTTCTTCCCGCTTCTTCGCCGCCTTGCGCATGGCCATGAGCTGGTCGTACGGCCGCTTCTGCTGCTTGGGCGCTTTCCCGCCCAGTGTCACGATGCGCTCGATCTCGAGCTTCTTGCGCTCCTTGCCCGTTGCATGCGTCACGCCTACCCGAGCATGAGTGTCTACGTACGATGGACGACGGAGGGCGCACCAAAGCTCTTGACCGAGTCCAAGGTCTCGCGGAACTGCTTGGCGACCTCTTCGGCGCGGCTTAGCGGCTCGTTGGCGCCGGCCTTGCGCGGGCGGCCATCGTCGTGGCGCGGTCGGCGGACGTCGGTCACGGGGCACTCGAACACCTGGACGACCCGGGGCTTCCCATCCGACTTCTTGAACGCGGGCAGCATCGGCAAGCTTGCTGTTTGACTGGATCCAATACGCGGCCACTCGTTGCAGGCCCCCTCCCTGTTTTTAGGAGGGGTGGGGGTCCCCCTTTAAAAAATCGATGCAAACGATGGAATTCGACCAATCAGACACCGCTTCTATTTTTAGCGAAAAGGCGATTGCCGGCAGTATTTTGACGACCATGCCAGCGACGCCCGCTCGCCACGCAGTCGTCCATGCTGCAGACCCTAGAGCATGTAATGAACATGGCGTGCGTAGGACGCTCGGTGCATGCGCGACCCAATGCCAGCGAACGCGACGCCCGAAGATGGGGCCAACGACGAGGTACGATTGTCCGCGCCGGCTGTGGGTACGACCATCGGTCGTAGACCGCCTCGATCGCCTCGTCGCGGCGCTCGTCAGCGTCATCGATCAAGTCGGCGTCGTCGTACCGCTCAAGCGCTAGCACTAGCTCGTCCATGTCCAAGCGCACGACGTCGTCCTCGATTTCGCGGAGCTCCCTTTCCACGGGTACGCGCTGGCGTAGCTGGATGCAGCGCTTGTCCAGCCTCAGAATTGCTCTGACGTACGTGTATCTAGTGGCGTCGATCCACGAGCTCGAAGCCCGCAAGCTCGACATTGAAGCGCAGTTGCAGGAGGTGGAGGCCGCGTTGAAGCTCAAGGCCGACAAAACCAAAGGTGTCTACAAGGTATGTACGCGACTAGGTAACTACTGTCCATTTAGTCCTTCGTTTTGGCTAGCCCAACCGACCATTCGCGCTCCTGCCGCGGTCGGCGTCGGGCTCGCTCCGATCGACGCACCGATGAACGCCCACGACTCTGCCACGAAATCCGGATAACAGTGACAAATTACGGAAATTCTCGCAGTGAGTAAGAATAGCGGCATTCGTTGGCGGGCAGCATGGGGCGGAAGAAGGCGGCCGCGGCCGCGGACGTGGTCAAGGCCAAGAAGCAGCACTTCGCCGAGAAGGCCAAGAAGAAGGAGAAGCTGGACAAGCTGCGCCGGCAGCCCAAGCCGGCGAAGCGCTTCCACAAGGTCGCGGCCGAGCCCGAGCCATTGACCGTGCACGAAGCCTCCGACATGGAGAGCGAGGAAGACGAGGCGCTCGACGACCCGGCGTACATCTCGCTCCGTGACTCGCCGATCAAGGCGTCAGCAGCAACGACGACCGAGACAGCGACCAAGGCGCCGTGGATGCGCGGGCGCACCAAGTACACCAATAAGAATGTCTTTCTGCAGCTGCACGAAGAGATCCTCGAGTTTGTCTCGTTCTTGAGCCCGACCCAAGACGAGATTGCGCTGCGCAAGGAGGCCATCGAAGACATTCGGACCATCATCGCCGACCTCTGGGACGGCGCGACGATCGAGGCCTTTGGCTCGCACGTGACCGAGATGTACCTTCCGACGAGCGACATCGACTTGATCGTGCACGACGCGCCCACAGGCAAGCAAGCGCTGTGGTCGCTCGCGCAGCGGCTCGAGGACCTCGGCGTCGTGAGCTTCATCGAGGTCATCGACTCGGCGCGCATCCCGATCGTCAAGATCGTGCACGCCAAGACCAACGTGCACATGGATTTTTCGTTTACGACGACGTCCGGTCTCTCAACCGCCGACCTCGTCATGATGTACATGCGCAAGTACCCTTCGTTTCGGCCGCTTGTCATTGTGCTCAAGTACTTTCTCCTCCAGCGCGGCCTCAACGAGACGTTCAAAGGCGGCATTGGCTCGTTCCTCCTCCAGCTCCTGGTCGTGAGCTTCCTCCAGCAGTATGCGCGCAACCACACCAAGAGCGCCGACCACCTCAACCTCGGCGTGCTCCTCGTCGAGTTCTTTGAGCTCTACGGGTCGTCCCTCAACCCGTCCAACGTTGGGCTCAGCGTCCGCAATGGTGGCTCGTACTTTATGAAGGAAGAGCGCGATTGGCGTGACGCGAGTCGGCCGTTCTTGCTCTGCGTCGAGAACCCGCACGACCCGAGCCACGACGTCGCCGCCAACTCGTGGGACATCCGCAAGGTCTTCCGCACGTTTGCCCATGCGGCCAAGTCACTCCAAGCCGAGATCTGCCTCCGGGGCAAGAAGCACGGTGCGACCGGCAGCATTCTCGCGCGCGCGATTGCCATTGACGGCTTCCTCCACGACCGCGACGGGCCGTCCACGTTTGGCTTTGACGTTGTCCGGAACGACCCCGCCGAAATGGCGATGCTCCAGAAACGGTACGCGAGCCGGCCTGAATAAAGTTAGGAGACTGTACTATGCATTCTCTTTGATAAGACAATATTGAAGACGCTTATTATATCCTATCACGTGTATGTCTCTACCACATGAAGCGCGCGATCGAGCCATCGACCCAATTGAACGGGCGGTATATGAAGACGTACATCGTAACCGCGTTGATGGCCAAAAAGACCGCCGACGTCAAGAGTACCGGGATGAGCGGTTGCTAGACGTCCATGAGCATCAAATGGAGACCAAATGGAGACGAACCTTGGGCGAATGGAGGTGGAGAAGCGTGTACGGAACAAGGAAATAGCGCGGCTCGACGAGCGGCGACGGCACGAGGGCGAGGGCGGTCGCGACGCCAAAGACCACGAGCCACAGCAACGTCGTCGCTTTGCGGAGCTCCTTCCAGAGAAACCACGCAGCGTAAATGTACAGCGGGAGGGGCACAAACTTGGCGAGCGCGTGCTTGAGGTACAAGCGCTGCCAGAGGTAAAACGTGTAGTGGCGGTTGTCGGCGAGCAAGAAAGGGTGTGTCAAGCTACAAACTTGGTGTCCCCACCGGCACGACAGCAGAGGATTCTTCTACCTGAAGCGGTCGATCGCAAACAGAAGCGCAACGACAACGGCGATCGACGTCAGAAACGATCGAACACTCGACGTTAGCGCATGGCCCACGTCGCGGAAGAAGGTCTCGAGGCGCACTAGCACCATGGTGATGCAAATGTCCCGAGGCCAGGGTTACCTGGAAAGAGGCAGACGAGGCCAAAGCCCATGGTGGCAATTGTCATAAAGTACAGCAGCTGCGCCAAATGCAAGCCCGCCACGTGGTTGGCCGTGTCGCCTACGAAGCCAATGGTTGCTTGGTCGGACGTGTCGGGTTCATACCCACGGTGATGGCGCCGTTGACGGCGAGGAACGCGCCAAAGGCGACAACGATCGAGATGGTCGCCCAGTAGCGCTTGGTGAGGAGGACCGAATCCTTGAGCAGGAACGTCAAGAACTTGAGGAGCACGATGCCGAGGCTACGTATAATGGCAGTGCGCCTTAGGTGCAGCATTCAACCATGGGACGTACTGGGAGCTCGACTCGGCGCCGCTCGGACAGGCATACCTACGTACATGCATGGAGAGATGTCGTGTTGCATGGACGTACAAGTGTGTTTCATGCGTCGTCTCAATGTCCTGTACAATGGCCGTGCCAAGGATGAAGAGCACCCAGAGAATGTTGGTTTGGCGCACCGCGACTGCGAGGTACCCACACTAGCATTTCGCGGTGCATAAACCCCTTGTACGAGCAAACGAGAATGGCGTACGAGCACGCTGGCCAAGTACGTGGTCGTGCAGCTCCCGGACCGAAGGCGCTGGCGCTGGCTCACGCGCGAGAGGAGGTACATGAGCAGCACAAAGAAGAGCCCGGCCACGTCCGTGTAGTAGAGAAAGCTGAAAAAGACGTTGATCGGGAAGAACGCAATCATGAGGCCGTGCGCGATCGCGTGCGACCGCTCGTGCGCCGTGTACTACGCGAGACGGTCTAGATGGGATGCAAGCATCGGAGTTACCTCTTTCATTTGGCGCAAGAGCACAATGAGGTAGACGTTGCCGATCGCGAAGAGGAGGTTCAAGCATCGCAGCACCGTCGTCGAGCAGTAGGCAATGCGCACCGAGACGGAAAACGTCTGCACGAAATGGACCGCGTTGGAAAACGCGACGCCCGCCACGTAGAGCCCGGGAAAGGTCGTAATTTTCGGATCCCATGTGTCTAGCACTAGCATGAGAGGCGGCGACGCGCGGGGCGGCGGCGAAGCCAGTATGCTCATACCCCAATGGCCCATGCAGTACTGCTGCGTCTGGGGCACATGGAAGATCTCGTCCTACGCGCCTGCGCTTAGCGGCGAACGATTGCATGTAGCTGTACCATGTAGGCTTGCGGCGCATGCACGTGGAAGAGGTAGGCGATCGCTGCGTACGAGGCGCCGACGACCGCGGTCGCGCCGAGCGCGCTCGACGACGTCATCTCAAAAATGGGCCCCCGGATACTCGATTTCCGTATCCGGAAGATCTGTTGTCTATTCCAACATTCCTTAAGCGGCGCCACGGTAGCGGCCCCAAGGAATGGCTGGCTGCATGTATTGCCCCGCCACTTCGGTTAGCAATCTGCTTTAGCGCTTGACATTCGGTAATGCGCGTGCTTCGGATGCGGTGTGGTCGCTATGAGGGCAAATGCCTTAAGAAACCCTCCAAATTGGGTGGTTTTAGCTGGCTACTGCGCCCACAGTACTCGGGCGCGTGTCACCGCGTGCACCACTCTTGCACGTCAACCGCCGAGTGTCTCTGCAGTGCTACTACAATCGATGATGCACGGTCTCTATCTCGATTCACCGTCCTTAACCGCTGGTGCTGAGCGTCAAGGATGGAGGCGGCTTGTACAGCACTCGCCGCAGGTACAGGCCGTGGGCAGGGGCCATCGCCGGCGCCGCCGACCGATCTTTGGCGGCCAAGAGACGCGGAATGTCCTCTGGCTGCAGCTTGTGCATACCGACGTCAACGAGCGCGCCGACGATGTTGCGCACCATGTGGTACAGGAAGGACGACGCCGATGCCTTGACGTGCAACAGCGTAATCGCATCGTTCTCGTGGAGCTCGTTCCCGCCGTGCGAAGGAATCGTCTCGATACCGAGCGTCGAGAGCGTTCGAATTGGCGAGAGCGCTTGGCATCGCGCGCCGCGGAAGCTCGTAAAGTCGTGCTCGCCGAGAAAATGGGTGCACGCGGCGGCCATGGCCGCTTGATCCAGCGGCCGCTCGACGTGCCACGAGAGGTCGCGCGTGAAGAGTGACGAGGGCAGGCGACCTGGCAGCGCATATCGGAACTCGGTGTTGGGCATGTGGATCTGGTAAATGTAGTCGCGACCGATTGCTTCAAAGCGAGAGTGGAAGTCGTTGGCGACAACGTCGACGTCGCGGACCACGATGGCCTGGTTGCGCTGGCGCAAGAACGCGTTCATGGCGTTGCGCACGACGTGCGGCGGGTGCGGCTCTGCGCGGTGCAGATCGACGTGCGCTGTGTTGGCCACTGCGTGGACGCCGGCGTCCGTGCGGCTCGAGACAACGACGCGCGAGAGGCGATCGTGCGAGCCCATGAGCAGCGCCAGCGCCTTCTCGAGCTCGACCTGCACCGTGGGCCCGCAGGCTTCGGGCTGCGCTTGGAAGCCACGGTACGCGCTGCCGAGGTACTCGACTGTGAGCTTGTACCGCTGCAGCATGCGTCGGCGCGAATCAATCTCCGATTTCAAAACACACTATATGCATTTCCTTACACTATATACACGGTATTCGTGTTTCCAGTATTGTCGCCAATGCAAGTGGAGCGCAGGACGAAGCAAGGATCTGTTGCTACAATGCACTTGCACGTATGCAGTGGTCGTATCCGAGGCAGTCATCTGGCTTGCATGGGTGAAGTACCATTCACATACGTGATGTCGAAGTACACTATATCCGTTGCTTGGACCTTTATAATTAAATACTCGAAGGTATCAACAAGAAGAGGTTGGATCCAAAAACATTCCACAGCAGAAGAAGATAGGTCGCAGGTACCGACCGCCATGTCGCTGCTCAAGTCCAAGCCGGTGCGTTCGCCATCCTGCGCGCGTTCGCCGAGCCTCATGGCCGACTAGGTGGACTTTGATATGGTCTGGAACGAGATCGAGCCGTCCGTGGAGGTCCTCGTCAACGGCTCGCACGCTCCGTTCTCGTACGAGAAATGGCAGGGCGTCTACCATGGCGTGTACAGCATCTGCACCAACCCAGGCGCGCCGCAAGCCGAGGCGCTCTTCTTCCAGCTACGCGAAATCCTCGTGCGCCGCGTCACCGAGATCGTCGAGGTGCGCGCCCACGATCATCGTTGTCGCGGCTCTAGTCTCAGATCTGAGTAGCTCTTGACGGCCGAGCCGGGCGACGCTGAGTTCCTCGCGCTCTACTGCTCGCACTTTAACGTCTACTCGACAGGCAGCAACTACGTCTCGGAGCTCTTTGCTTACTTGGTGCGCTCTCTGTATGTGTTAGAGCGTTGGAGGTCTCATTCCGCTCTGCCTACAGAACCGGTATTGGATTCGGTACGCCCACTCCGAGTACGGCCAAGCGCCGATTCCAGGCGTATACCCCGTGCCCGAGGTAAGGTGCTCGTCAGGAAATGCAGCGAAGACGCAGGACCATGGCTAGCTCGCGCTGCGCATTTGGCGTGACATTGCACACAGCGCGCTCAAGCACCGCGTTGTGCATGCGCTCGTGCACATCTTTCGCATCGCGCGCGAGGCAGGCGACGCCTTCTTTGAGCACGGCGACCTCGTGGCCACGACGGTGCAGGTGCGCATCACGCCATGTCAACTATGTCAACGTGAGGTCGACGTGGTCCTGTAGATCTACCTCGTGCTCGGGCTCAACAAGCAAGACCCGCTGAAGCTCTACCGCCTCGAAGTCGAGTCGGTCTTCCTCCTGGTAGTCGTCAGTCCAAGCCACGATCATATCCTTACGCAAGGGTAGGACACGGAAGCGTACTACGCCGGCGTCGCCCAAGACCTCCTCTCGCGGCTCTCGATCGCCGAGTACCTCGCCCACGTGGAAGCTCTCTGCAAGCAAGAAGAGCGCCGCTGCGATGGCAAGATGCACCGCATGTACACAGCGCATCCACGTTGGCCCGTACCGACCATGCGGAATTATGGATAGCACGGTCAAGCAGGCGCGACAAACGTGTTGCCGCGTCCTCGTCGAGGAGCACGCGGATCGCATTTGCGAGCACGTGGACGCGTTCCTTGCGGCCAACCAAACAGCGGACCTCCGGCGTCTCTTTACGCTCTTCTCCGAACTCCCCAACGAGCACGCGCTCATGCTCTTCAAGGTCTATTTATTTCCGATTTGAATCTCAATCTCAATATGGCCACTAGACAAATCTCAAAAAATACATTGAGAAAACCGGCCTCGACGTTGTCAAGCAGCTCCCGATGGACGCGACGCTGCGCTCCCCACAGCTGTACATTGAAGCGCTCGTCCGTGTGCGCGAGCAGTTTGTCGACCTCATTCGCGACGCGTTTGGCTTCCACGCACTCATGCGCACAGCGTTGGACCAGGCGTGCCGGGCCTTTGCCAACGCCCACCCGCGCCTGCCCGAGCTCCTCGCCAAGTACACGCACGTGCTCATGACCAAACCCGGTTCGCTCAATAACTTGATACGTACATGGCTTATACGGGGTAGGGCTCAACGACAACGAGGTCGAAGTCAAGATTGACCAGATCGGCGTCGTCTTTTGTCTTTTGGACGACAAGGATGTCTTCAAGACGTTCTACGCCAAGCTGCTTTCTCAACGGCTCATCCATGGTAGCCAGATCGACTCAATATGTCCATGTCCTCTTACATAGCTACCTTGACTGTATGCAGGCTCGTCGATGGCCCATGAATTTGAAGTGCTCTTGGTGCAAAAGCTGCGGGACATTTGCGGCTGCGATTTCGTCTCCAAGCTCCAAAAGATGTTTGCCGACAAGCTCCTGAGCTCGGTATGAATCGGAGGGCACACTGGGATATATCGAGCGACCGCGTAGACAACGACGAACGCGTACCGGTCGTGGCGCCACGAGCATCATGGCATGAATGAACCCAACTATCTGGTCGCGTTTAGCTTTGACGTGCTCACTGCGGGGGTGTGGCCGATTCCGACGCCGTCTATTGCCTCGACGCTGCACCTTCCCGCCGTGTGTCAGTACCAAGTCGACCTCTTTACGACCTTTTACGCGAGCCAGAGCTCGGGCCGGCGCCTGCACTGGGTCCACCACCTCTCGCACGGGCTCCTCCGACTGAGTCTGGGCGGTCGGCTCTACGAAATCCACGCGAGTCTGTACCAAATGATCCTTCTCCTGCTCGTCCGATTCCATGACAATAGCTTCCACAAACTCATCAACTCTTCTAGTTTAACGACCGGTCGGCGTGGCGGGCGACCGAATTGCGGGATGCCACGCGCGTCCCGAGCCTCGACGCTGTACACCAGCAGCTGCATCCGTTCGTCAAGGTTGCTTGACCGCCAATCGAAGCTCACCCGCCTCATAGATGAAGCTGCTCACGTTGACGGACGGCGCCCTGTACACGCTCAACGAATCGTTTGCGCACAAGCGGTCCCGGATCAAGGTGAGCTTTCTGCACGAGCCTTTTGAATGCACATGGTGTAGGCCATGCCGGTGCAGTCAGTGCTGGACCCGCCGACGTCGTCGTTGTCGGTGTCGTCGCCGTCGGCGTCCAGTGGGCCGCCCCGCGAAGTCACGGAAGACCGCAAGATGGCGCTCCAGGCGGCACTCGTGCGCGTGATGAAGGCGCGGCGCGAGTGCGCATTCCTGCAGCTGCACGCCGAAGTGACGACGATGCTCGCCAACCAATTCGTGCCGTCGACCGACTTTGTGCAAACCAATTTGGAGCTGCTCGTGGAGAAAGAATACGTTCGTCTCGCATCGCCCGGCGCGACGCGCAGCGCTGCCGTTTACGTCTACGTGGCCTAGTCACGACTGTCCTCGTCACGATCCATCGACCAAAAATGTACTCAATTCTACAATGCCAGTGCGTGCTTGCACATTGTCAGATCTCGTTGATAGTCGTATACAACCCTTGACGTGCTTGCTCGTTCTGTTGGGTCTGTCTTGACGGTTGGGCGTGGCAGTGTCAAGCTGCCGACACGGGTGGATTCCTGCTGCACACGCAGGAGAGACGGGGTTCGAGTCCCGGAGGCGCAGCCCCTTCTTCTCTTTCACGGGTGCGACCGCCAGTTGGAAGCACTGACTGGCGGTCGCACCCTAACCCTAGTGTTGAAATGGCTCTTTACTGTCATTTAATCATTAAAATCATTTCAGGATTCCCTTGGCCGTCATCCTGGTCCTCGGGTGCTAGTATGACGGCAATATCGGCGTACAGTGGACATGAGCGCAGTGAAGGCCACGACGACGTGCATTGTCTGATGTCTCTGGCTACGCGCTATCCTTACAAGATTTCTAGCGTCGCGTCCGGCGTTGCGTACGCTGCCTTGTGCTTGTCAAAGATGCGCTGGAGCTCGGTGAGGAAGAGGCCGTGGACGCGGTCGACTTCGTCGCTGGACGGGTTGTCGCACTTGGTCGTTGGGATCGGGTGTCCGTACACTTGGTGGATCTCGACTGGGAACGGTTTAAACGGGTTCCACCACGTCGGGCCGACGCAGAGCGGAATCGCAATAAGGAATTTCCGAGCAAACCACTGCCGCAGCGGCAGCAAAAACCTACCGACTCGAGTTCAAATTCCTGTTGGATCGTAGAATTCAACTCGTACGTGGACGGACGGAAAAGATCATTTTCACCAAACGCATATACGGGCACGATGGCCGTACCGTGCTGGATCGCGAGCTTGACAAAGCCTACAAAAGCGTATATCATGACAATATTGTCCATCACAATCGACATTGTGTACCTTTGCGCGAATGGAGAAAGACGTGGTGCTTTTGGTACTCGGCGAGCATTTGCTCTTGGATGCCACCGACGAGGATCACGAGGCTCTTGCCGGACGCCAAGACGCTGTGCGCAACGGACCGACTGGCATCGACGACGCCGAGCCAGAGAAGCAGCTCGCGGTAGATGGGAATGCGAAACACGATCGACGCGCCGAGGTGGCGGCGGCGGTCGCCAGGAATCACGTCATGAAAGGCCGGCGTCGACGCGCCTGTGATCATGACGCCATGGTGCCACGACGTGGGGCCGTGCGGATGCGACGAAAAGAGGTACTGCGTCTCCTTAGCCAGCGGTGTCTCAAAGTGCAATGTCGTTGGCACCGGCGCGCGCGCCTTCCAGAGCGAGAGCGTCGCAAACCATGGCCAGTACCCACCGCGTTGCGAAAACTGCGTCGGTGCCAAGAAGCTCGGGAGATACGCAGCGAGAAGACCCAGTACGACAGCGTACGGCAGCGCGTAGTACTGCAAGCTGATGGCGACGCCAGCGACAAAGGCGCTGAGCGATGCCACGTACACGGTCGGGATCGCCATCGGTTCTGCCTCCTCCTGCGCCAAATGTGGTTTGCGGTCAGTTGAATTGCCGCCTGTTTTTGCGTGTACTTGCAGTTTGTATGTCCACTGTGTTTCGTAGCATGGGCTGCTGGGATTGGCTCACGCATCCACCAATCACACGACGCCATATCTTGGCTGCATCAACACCACAGCAGTTGCTACCGCAGCGCAAGCTGCTTCGTGCTGCCGTGCGTCGTCTCGTCGACGTTGAGGCTACTACGATCGACTGGACTGTACGAGGAGACGGGAAGGCAGGCTAGAGCGACTACACCGGCCCGAGCGATTGGGCCGAACACTCGTGGGGGCTAGGGTTGTCAGATGTTGACGCCCAAGTCCTCTCGTTGCGAGGTTAGCTAATCATCCGTGCGGAACTGCAGAAACGAGGTATTTCGTCGGAAAATGCAATGTCGTGTTGGGCTGCAGAAGCGTCTACGCCTGGATCTCGCCCGTGTACGAGTTCCACCAAATAAGTAGCATTTGGGCCGCCGACAACCTAGGGAGCGTGAGCCGCCGTCCGTGGCTAGTCATTGCGACGTACCCGAGCAGCATGTAGGTGCGGAAGCGCCGCGACTCGTAGCTTGGTTCGGGCACCGAGCCTTTGAGGCACTGCAGCATGAAATAGGTGGTCGTCAAGCCCGTGTAGAGGAGCGCAATGTAGTACGCCATCGACCCCAACAGCATGCGCACGACCGTGTTGAGCACGAGCGGCACGTACTTGTAGCCCGTGAAGGCGACAAGGTCAAGGAACGAGATGCTGCTGTTGAGCACGTGCAAGCACGCCTTCATGACCGCGATCTCAAGGCACTGCAGCATGACGCAGTACATGCCCACGTCGCCAATGACGTCCGGGTTGAACCTAGCGCGCGATCCATCAGGCAGATATACCAGAGCAAGCAACGTACTGGCCCGATGTGCCCTTGATGAAGCCGACAAGAAGAATGTACGTGGCAAAGCTCATGAGCGGGATGTAGAGATCCGGCGCGTTCACATCGTCGGTCGGCGGCTTGTACGTGATCTCGCCGGTCGAGTCACTGGGCTCGGTGCGGCGGCGCCAGTTGCTGTGGAGAAAGGGCACGAGCAGCATCTAGACACAAACAGTTAGGAGGATCATGCAGTCATGATGATGGACGAGACCTTGAGGCGCGTGACCACATATGCGTTGTTGACGGTGAAGTAATACTTGACCGAGCCAAACGCGCCTTTTGCACCGGGCACGAACGACGAGATCTTGTTTTCCATAAAGCCGACGCCTTGCGACATCATGTAGCCGGCCATCGGGTTGCTACAAGTCGCGTCGTCGATAAGCATACCAGGATGTCCCACGTACTTGAGAAGCTCTTCGGGGCTGCCGCTGCCCATGGCCTGGCCCAAGAACGCGCCCATGGGCGGTGCGCTCTGGCCCATCATGCCCTGTGGTTGGCCCATCATGCCCTGTGGTTGGCCCATCATGCCCTGTGGTTGGCCCATCATGCCCTGTGGCTGGCCCATCATGCCCTGTGGCTGGCCCATCATGCCTTGGGGCTGGCCGTACGAAGGCTCCTGTGGCGCGACGTGGCCGCGGTTGTACGCCTACGTAGCGGCGCCATCAGTTGACGCAGGTCGGCCTCGGCTCTTTACCTGGCGCTGGTCGGGGTACCCATTGCCACTGCCATTGTTGCTGCCCGTGTGGGCGGATCCGTCGAAAAAGTCGTTCGCCGCCGGCGCTTGGTACTGGGGGTTGAAGCCCGCGCGGCGCGGCTGGTACGGCGCGCTCGGGTTGCGGAAGGGAACTACACGCAGCAAGGTTTGTGCGGCGCTACGTCAAGGTCGGCGCGTACCAGGTTGCGCCATCGCTCGTCGGCTTCCACAAGTGACGTCGGGGACTCGGCTTGCAAACTGTGCGTTGATTGGTCAAATATAGGCCACCGCAGTACATTTGGCGCGATGCCATTGGTTCAAAAAGAAACAGCACGCCAAACACCGCACCTTGATGCAGCCAGCGCATGGCCTTGGCTACCGTCGCCACCGTGGCGGCCATCCATGGCGCCGACTTGTCCACATCGTCGACAGTATCGTAATGCTTCATGGTCATCGTCCCACCCATGCGCTACCACATTGGCGAAGCTGCGCCACGCCGACGCTGCTCATGTCGGTACCCTCGCTCCTCCTCACCTGCTCGAGGACCTGTGCTCGTTCTCACCTGCCACAAACCTTTCTTGTACAGAACTCTAGCCTCTGCGCAGGATGGACAAACGCTTTTGGCGTGCGTACATTATACGTGCATCAAAATGGGACCTCGGCGCACATCGAGCGATGTGCTTATCTCAAGATGCCGTTGGTGATGCTCGGCGACGAGCACGGCCCGGCGCTCGTCATAAACTTGTGGTCCTTCCACATCGCAATGCCGGTGGCGTCCGACTTGAGGCCTTCGCCGGCGGTGACGAGCACCTTCTGCTTCTCGACCTGCGCCGGGCTCAACGGCTCGCCCGTCAGGCCTTCGTACACGATGCGCTCGCCCGGCTACGATGGGCAAAACTAAGCGTCTATGCAATCACTCGGCGTCACAGTACCTTGGCACCGGCCGGCGGCTCGACGAACGCGACCTTCTCCGTGCCATCGGCGTCCGTCTTGACCGCGCAGAGCACCATCCCGTGCGACTTGAAGCCGACGAGCGCACGCGCCTTGAGGTTGCACATGACGAGGCACATACGACCTTCCATTTGCTCGAGCGAGTAGTGCTTGACGAGGCCGCTGGCAATCTGGCGCGGCGCATCCTCACCCTGCACACCAAAACAAGATGAGAATCACTGTCGAGAGCACGGAAGAGGCAACGTACGACATCGATCTCTTCACAGTAGAGCCTAGGATGCCAAGATGAGGTGGTGATGAGAAGAAGGGTGGAGCGTACTTGTCGGCGGTCTCGTGCTTCCAGACCTTGACGATCTTGCCGACGCGAATGTCGAGCTTGGTGATGTCGGGCTGCGCGTCAACGACGGGCGCAGGCGCCGCCGCCTTCTTCTCCTTCTTGGGCTTGTCTTCCTTCTTGGCCTTGCCGTCCGTCTTGGCGTCCGGCTAGCAAGTGGTCATGCAAATTGCGATTGGGCGGCGTCAAGTACCTTGGCCTTGCTGGCAGGCGCGGCCTCGTCGGTCACTGGCGCCTTCTTGTCGGCCGCCGGCGCCGTCGTCGTCGTGTGGACCATGAGCAAGTGCTGGTGCACGGCAACGTCAATGATGGGCATGGTCTCAAAGCCGCGGATGCCAACCGTGTGCTGGAGCTGGTTGAACCAACGGCGGAGGTTGACATGCTTGGAGACTGCGCCGTGCGACTTGACAAAGGCCTTGTAGATGACGTAGAAGAGCGTCGCATCCGCGAGCGTCGGGCGGTTGCCGACAAAGTAGACGCGCGACGCAAGGTGGGCGTCGAGGAGGCTCCACTGGCCCTTGTTGTTGAGGCTTTCGTTCGCACGCTGGTTGGAAGCGACGCTCATCCACTCGGAGATCTCGGCCTGCTCGAGGGGCGTCGTGCCCGAGAGCTCGAGCTCGCGGTCGGCCGCACGGGCAAAGTAGCGCACGATCGTGTTGGTCTCGTTAAGGATGACGTTGCCGAGCTTGAGGCGGATGTCGCCATGGGCGGCCGACGACGTCTTGACGCCGCAGAAGCGGGCAGCGAAGCGGAGGAAGACCGACTCTTCCGACTTGTCGAGCGAGAGCGACATGGCGATAAGATTTATTGTAGCCACCGAGTGGCGGCCTGCCTTCGAACTTCGAAGACATCGAAGATCGTTCTTGTGGTGCGTCCGGCCATGTGCCGGATAATGGCAAGCGAAGATCGAAGTATGAAGGATAAAACCACGCAACCGCTGCAGCGCCACGGCTTGAAGTACCGAGTAGCAGCGGGTGCATCGACTCGACTACAGTGTAGAGCTACTACAGTGTAGCAAGAAGCAGTCGCTTGTCGTTCGACAATACAGGATGATAGTCCTCTGTTGTGCGTTGGACGTTTAGTCGGCGGAGAGAATGCACACCTTCTCCGCTCGCGCATGTATCAACGTTGAAACGCGGTCCTCAACGGTCATTTCATCTATGGGCTGGGTTAGTAATGCTTGGGCGTTGATGACCTTGACAGTATGTTTGCCAATACCGCTAGACCCGGAAGGAGAGCTGCCGAACGACGCCTCGTCGACCTTGTGGCGTCGTAGAGGGCTGGAGAAGGCTGAGAAGGGTGGCTGGAAACAGGAAGCCGAGTGGGCTGGGTGCGAGTCGCCACCTAGTTACGTCTGGGCAAGTAGGGGCACATCCTGTTTCGTGCAATGCTGCTGCGATGCAGCGGGATCGGCACCCAAGCTTGGTGCAAGTTGCGTGTTTTTAACGTCCGGCTTGGTGGCAAACCCTACGGACCGCAAATAAACACTTCGAACTTCGCATTCGTGTTTGGTGCCAAGACCGTCGACAAAGTCCGTCTCGCGCCGTCCTTGCCATGTCCCTGCTCCTCCTTCGCCGCGCAAGATCGCTCCGCCCGCCCGCCCGCGCCATGAGCTCGCTGGCGCCGGACGAGACGCCCAAGAAGCCGTCGTCGCCGTCGATCGTTCTCGGTGCGATCGCATGCATAGTTGGCGACGCTTGCTCATGCGCGAACTAGACGAGTTTGTCATGCGCCAGTTTGACGACGCTAACTTTCGCGGAACGCAAGTCAAGTACGAGAAGACCAAGTTTGAAGCCATGATCAACAAGTACTACGAGAACGGCGAGTATGCGCTCGTGGACGGGTACGCCATCATCCTCTGTCGCCCAGTGGGCTCTGAACGTGCATGCGTAGCTACGCCCCGTTCTGCAAGCACTTGTTTGTGCCCAACTTTATTAACGCCCGCGTGCAGACGGTGCCCATCACGCACAAGTCGATCCACTTGCTCCAGTCGGGCTACACCAAGCGCCGCCCCGAGGAGCTCCCTGTGTACGCATAGCGCCCCGAAGTATGTATGCTCATGCAAAGGATGGTGGCGTAGGCTCATGCGCTGGTTTCCGTCGCACAGCGTGACGCCTGTGACGGCCAAGTTTCTCGATATCGTGCTCTACAGCCGCGAACAAGTCTTCTTGGAGAACGAAGCGATGGGCAAGGACATTACGCTCAGCGACGCGCCGTGGCGCATCACCAACGTGATTGCGCAGGACGTCGACACGGAGCTGCCCATGGAGCCAATGCATTACTTCCGGAATGCGCTCGGGAAGGAGGCCGGCGGCTCGGGTGTTCCGATCGACCCGATCAAGTACCAAGAGGCGGTCGAGTACTGGAACAAGCACGCGCACATCAAGTAGTAGAAGGACGTCGCCCTGTATATCGACGAGGCCTATATAAACAACGAACGCGTCCACCGCCTACCACTGCTGTCGTTGGCGTCCAGGTGGACTTTCGTCCAAGCCCTTCGCAGTAGACTCGTGTACTGGACGGGTAGTCGCTACGTGACCAAAGATGATGTCGGGGTGTTACTAGGGTTACTCGTCCCAAGGACAGCTTTAGAGTCGGGTCGACCGTCGTGTGAGTGAGTATTCGCATGGGTCAGCGACTGCAGCACTAGGTTTAGGGTCTACAGCCGTTGGCGGGTGATACTTGTTCAAGGACCTTCTCCGTGCAAAGGAGCTATGCAGCTTTATTAGTGAGAATCGCGACGGCGACCAAGTTGCATGTTGTCTCGTCCATTGGCGCGTGGTCGGTGCGATGAGACACGTTGAAATATATGTACATACGCTATATGCAGTCTGATCCTAAATTGCTTTATTCCTCGGTGTCGGCCTTCTTGGGCTCCTTCACAATGTCCAAGAACGAGCGCGCACCCCAGGCCCCCGTGGGCGCAACGACGGGCACTTCCTTCACTTCCTTCTTCGCCTCGACGACGACGGCCGGCGCCGCCTTCTTGACCGGCGCCGCCTTCTTGGGCGACTCGACCTCCTTCTTCTTCGGGGCCTCTTCCTTCTTGGCAGCGGCCGCCGCCGCACCGTTGATCAAGGCAGCCGCGTACCCGCTCGCGGGCTTCTCGGCGACCGCCGCCACGATCGGCTTGCCCTCCTCGACGGCCTTCTCCTGGGCCTGCTGGCGGAGCTCGCGCGCCACCTTGGTGTACTCTTCGCCGTACATCATCGACTCGTAGTCGACCGAGCCGACCGAGTCGGACCGGATCGGGCGGCCCTGGCGGAGCGCCTCGCGCGCCTGCTCGATCGAGTACGTGCGCTGGTTGCGGAGGAGGTCCGGGTGGGCGTCCGGCGTGAGCGCGGCGGCGTGGGCTTCGAAATCCATCTTGCCGGCCGGAAGCACGCAGTCGGTCTCGTCCATGTTCTTGACAATCTCCATAATGTCTTCGTGCGAGTACGCCTGCGTGATGGCAGCGCCGCCAACGTTGGTCGGGAGCGGCGGGAAGTTGACCGCGTTCAAGATCGGCTGGCGCTCCGACTTGGGCTTGGCCGACGACTCCTTCTTGGGCGTCGTGGCCGGCGTCGCAGCCTTCTTGGTGTCCTTGGCCTTCTTGGCGCTCGGGGTCGAGCCCTTCTTGCCGTCCTTGGACGGCGTGCGCGCCGGCGCGCCGTTGGCCGCGCGGAAGTTGTTGCCTTGGCCCTTGCGCGGGCGGCCGTCCTTGCCAGCGTAGCCGTAGCTGTTGGGCGCGCCATAGTAACCAGCGTTGCCATACATGCCAACCGAGTACGCCGACGTCGTGACCGGCGAGGCAGCCGCGTCCACCGACGGCGTCGACTGCGGGAAGAACGACTTGAAGAGGTTCTCCGACTTGAGGCGGGCCTTGATCGGCGCGTTGTTGAACGTCTTGTTGCGGAGCGCAAGGAGCGTGTTGACAGCCTCCTCTTCCGTGGCCATCGTGACAAACCTACCGCTCCATTCAGCCAGCGCCACCAAGGATCGAAGTGGTTACCAAGTGTCGCCAACGTCGCTACGGACGCTCGTGACCGCGCCGCAGCCGGCAAAGATGGCCTCGACCTCGGCCGGCGCGGTCGCCGACGGGATCTCACGCAGGATGATCGTGTTGCGCTCCGACTTGATGTTGGGCTTGATCGCGTTCTTCTCATCGTTCAAGACAACAATCTACCGCGCCGTGTCAGCGGTAGGCCAAAGGCCAAGTATGGCACACCTGCGAGTCCTTGATGGCGTCAATGAGGAGCGCCGCGTCGTCGCTGAGGGCCTTGATCTTGGCAAAGCCAAGGATCGTGTCAATAGGCACAAACCTAGCCACAGTTGGCGTCCATGCACGTGGCGGCCGACGAGCTTACATTTGCGCGTTCATCTGCGACACCAAGTACGAGTCGGTCGCGAGGTTGGCCTTGGAGAAGTAGAATTCGACTTGGCTCTTCAGCGCGTCCTTCAAGGCGGCGCCCACTAGACGACCGCATGAGCGTGCTTGGCGACAGAAGCTCGTACCGAGTTGCGGTTCTTGCGTGGCACTCATGGCACTTGGTCTCGGCAAAGGTCCCAGCAAAATAGGAATGGAAAGTTTCCGGATACTGGCCATGCCATTGCGCTCGCCAGCCAGTAATTCGGCGCGGGGCATCATATTATTATACATGCAAAAAGGCCAATCCACTTCGTTTTTGTATGTGAGCGGTATTAAAATGTGATGGCATACCATCCGAACGGCCAATAAAAGCGACTGCCCAACCAGAACGCACGAGGCAGAACCAACCAAATCCTTGTTGAAGTTTTACCAGCACTGTCTCAGCGCCCACACCGCCGCCGCCGAGAGCGTCTTCCAGGAGCCCGTGGCTGCTCGCGACGTCGCGAGTAGGCCAAGCCCACGCCTATCGAGCTTGTCGCGCGAAAAAGGACGAAACGCGAGAGCGATTCGCTTCGAAATCACCAAGTTGCAACGTTGCGAGAGGCAGCCGCTCTATCGCCCGACCACATAGAGGAGGTGGGCGCTGGCCAGGATCCAAGGCACGAGTAAGGTGTCGATGAGCGTCTCGGACCAAATGTTGGCTGCCTCAAACGGCTCCTCGAACAGCACCGAACACAGCTTTGGATGTGGATGCTTTCGTGGTGGCCTGATACAGTGTATTTTGCAGTGCAAGCATGCAGCATCAACCCCAGCGTTGGATTTGGACAAGTTGGCTGCCATTTCTACTCACCGCTCGTACAATGCTGTGGGAGTATGAAATGTCGTTGGCACGACGTTGGGAAGTGATGCAGGCGAGGAGCCAGAATGTAAGATGCTGCCAGAGTTTGATTCATACCAGAGTTTGGATGCTGGCACCTGCGTCATCATTCAGAGTTGGTTGGCCGCATGGACCACGCTTCTTATCACGATACGCTGCGGTCTCGGTAGCAGACCCATCCCATGCATCGCTAGTTGCAGGAAATATAAAAGCAGCAAGCATGTACCCAACCGTTGATTCGCACCGACAGGCCAAAGCCAGCGCGCCGGTGCGATTCACATAATTGAGACGATCCTGAGATATCTGTCCGTAGTTGAGACGCTTTAGAAACTATCAGTCCTGATTGACACCTGCGCTGGTACACGCCATGTGATTGGCGCGCGGAGAGCTGGTATCCGGACAAGAGTGCAGGTTTTACGGATTTGACCACCAAGTTCTCGAAGCCCACCGATGTTCCTGCGGTCGTCGAGCGCAATCCTTGGCGCCGGTCGCCGCCGCGGCGCCTCGGCGCGTGTCTTCTTCTCGTCGTCGACGCCACCTACGATGTTCCAGCACGACGACGAGAAGGGTAGTGGCGGCTTTCCAGGCGTGTTTCCCGCAGCAAAGAAGTCGCTGCTCCAGGACATTGTCGACCGCCTCAACCACTCGATGGAGCACCACCCGCAGACCACGATGGCCTTTGTCATCTCGGCCGACATGGCCAGCATCTTTGGCACCTATGGCTTGCTCCAGCTCTCGGGTACTCTCTCATTCGCCTCGACACGCGTTCGATTGAGCTTTAGGCGTGGTCATTTCGCCCGAGTTTGCACTTGCATTTGCAGCCAGCCGTCCACTGCGCCGCCTGCGCATGCCATTCGACCTCGCCATGGCCGCCATGCTCGCTAAGATCTTCCCGCCCCTCTCGCGCGTCCGCGTCTCGAGCATGTTTCCCACGTGCGACCGCCTTTCCCGTGGCTTCCAGTGTGTCTGAATGTCGTGTGTCCTAGTGTGCCAGGCGACCAGTCGTCGCTGCTGCATAAAGGCATGTCGACGATGACCGACATTATGGACAAGTACGGCGCGTGCTACATGATTGGATCCCGCCTCGCTGGTCTCACGGTCGTCAACTCGCTCTACTTTGCGCTCATCCAGGGCGTCGACATTCTGCCCTACTTGGAGCAGTTTGGCTTTGGCGAGCTCGGCTCGGCCATGGGCACGTGGGCCGCCAGCGTCGTCATGGCCTCGGTCTTCTACCCAGTCACGCTCAGCGTCACGGGCTACGTGGTACCAACGATTGCGCGGTCGGTCGCGCGCGCCAAGGCCAGTGCGATGAAGAAAAAGTAAACAAAATGTTCTCAAGGTATTGGCATAAGAGTCTCTCATCTATCCGAATCAACGCTTCTAGTTCGTACGCGTAATAGAGAGTCGTTGTTTAGTCGTTTACAGCTTTTGCACGAGGGTGAGACCATCGTACATGGGAAGAACGACGCTGCGCGTCCGCTCGTCGTTCGCCACGTACTTGTTGAACGCCAGAAGCTGCGACGCCGTCTTCTCGGTGGGTTGGCCGCGGCCGAACGCGTGCTCGACGACCTGGCCCCGAAAGAGCGTGTTGTCAAACACGATCCAGCTCTTCGGGGCGAGAAGGCGGTCGGAGGCCACGAGCGCTTCGTAGACTGCCACGTAATCCTTCTTGCTTCCGTCGATAAAGGCAAAGTCGAATGTCTCGGTGGTCGTGGCGAGCAGGTCGAGGCCCGGCTGCGCTTGCACCGTCACGTTCGAAATCGATGCCGTCGCCAGCTGTGCGCGCGTCCACGCAATCGCCTTGGGGTCAATGTCGCACGTCGTGACGTGGCCATGCGGCAGCGCGAGCGCCATGGCGACGGCCGAGTAGCCAGTAAAGCAGCCGACTTCCAGTACGTTGGACGCACTGAGCGCCTGGACGAGGAACTGGAGGGCCTTGGCTTGGCCCGGCGAGATCATCTTCTGCATGAGGGCGTCGCTAAAGTCATGGCTAATCGCATCGCGCCATGCAGACAGCTGCAATGTCGACGCGGGAATGCGACTCACATCGTGGACGTAGTCGTTGAGCTCGGGGCTCACGGTGCCTTCCGAGATGTGGTACGTCGAGTACGCCCGGGCGTGGAACGGGTTGCCGGGACGCACTCGGGCGTTCGGCACCAAGTGGTGCTGGAATCGGTGCGAGTTCGCCTTTGCAAAGGCCTTGCGCGCGTCAAGGGCCATGGCGTCCATCTCGTGCTTGATGCGTTGGCACTCGGCACTGCACGCGCCGTCAAATGCTGCGTGGCAGGCGTCGCACTGGAGCACGAGACCATGGCAAAGCGTGTTGGCGCAGTTGACGTGCGTGTTGGTCGGAGCTCGGCACTGGTAGCACTGCCCGAGCACATCCTCAGACAAAGCTTGGTCGTCGTTCGAGAGGCGCTGGTCAAACACAAAGTTGCGCCCGAGAAACTTGGAAGGAACGTTTTGCTCGCGGACAAACTTGCCGTAGTGGACAATACCACCTTGCAGTCGCTTGACGTTCGTGTACCCGTTCGTCTTGAGGTACGCGCCGACCTTTTCGCAGCGGATGCCGCCGGTGCAGTAGATCATGCACTCGGTGTCCTTGGGCGACCCGTCGAGCAGCGCATCGAGCGACGCCCACGTGTCCTTGAACGTGTCGACCATGATGCGCTCGGCGCCTTCGAACCGACCGACGTCGTGCTCGTAGTAGTTGCGGCAGTCGAAAATGCGCTTGGGCGTCGGCGACGACAGCGTCGAATGCCACTCGGCCGGCGACAGCTCGACGCCGCGGTCGTCCATCGGCAGAGTCTTGTCGAGGCCGTCGTGGGCCAAGTGCGGGCGCACACGGATGTGAAGCGTGTGGAACGGGCACTTTCCTTCGGGCGTCGCGTCGTTGTGGTCGAGCACCGCGCCGAGGTTAAGGAGTGCGTCGTCGAGCCACTCGAGGTTGTCGAGGTACGCCTTGAAGTCGTCGAGGCGCGTCATCGGGACTGTGATCTGAGCGTTGATGCCTTCTTCGGCGATGTACACGCGGCCCATGACGCCAAAGCTTTGCCAGTCGGTTAGGAGCTGGTGGCGCAGCTTGGGCAGACCATTGGCCTCGAGCTTCGTGTACTGGTAGAAGGAAATGTACTGGAGTAGACCGAGGTTCTGCGGTCGGTACGGCGCCCGGCGTGAGAAGCTCTGGTGCCACAGGCTCGACGACCGGCGCAGACTCGGCGCAGTGGCATGGCGGCGAAGACCCCACATGATGACGACGGTTCGAGCTTTCGGTCAAATTCTGTTTGTGTCAAGATACACTGCATTAAAAAAGCACAAGGTGCGTTGACTAATTGCACACACTTTTGGGGCTCACCTCGCCGATCTATGCTGGTTTAGCTCGACGCACTTTTAGATTTCTCACTCAAGTCGGAGCATACCGAAGGGCCCTTCGCATGCGTACGTAGCCTTTACTGCTGGTCGTTGCTTACGCGCCGCCTGCTGCCTCGCGTTGCCCATCATATTGCTGCTCCTCGTGTCCTTCAAGTTGCGTTCAAATAGATGCTTGCGTATCCGAGTCAACTTTACGCAAAAAATGAAATAAAATTCTCTGGCCTTTCTATCTTGGCCATTCAAATCGGACCAAACAGAAGCTTGCGTGTTTCTCTGCCGCCATGCTCCGGCTGCTGCGCCGACGACCGGCGTCGGTTGGGCGCCGCAGCTACTACACCCTGCCGCCAATGCATCAAGAATGGATATCCGGGCACACGGAGCGCGCGGCGATCGACTGCCCGCACCTGGCGCACATCCAGATGCAGCTCATCACACCCAAATGTGCGCTCTGGACAGCGTCGAGCGAGGTGGCCGCCACGTACCCGTTCCCAGACCCGTTCTGGGCCTTTTGCTGGCCGGGTAGCTACGGTATCTGCCGGTACCTGCTTGACGCACCGGCGGTCGTCGCCGGAAAGACGGTGCTCGACTTTGGCGCGGGCTGCGGCATTGGCTCGATTGTAAGCCTCGACCAAGGCGCGTCACAGGCCATCGTCAACGACATTGACGAATGGTCGTGCTCGGCGACGCACATGAATTTGATCCAGCATTACGCAGCTGACCGGATGCCGCAGGTTTCCATGGAGCCGCGGGACTTGGTCGGCACGCCGCTGTCCGACCTCCTGCGCCAGTATAAGATCGCGGATGCCTCCCAGCTCGTCGTGCTCGCCGGCGATGTGTGCTACGAAGAAGGCTTGGCGCGCCGCGTCATCGACTGGCTGCATGGTCTCGCTTCTGCAAACGCCACGGTGCTGGTGGGGGACCCCGGACGGCAGTTTCTGCCGCACCAGCGCCTCGCGCGCGTCGCCACGTACAAGCTGCCACCGAGCCTTGCCAAAGACAACTACGGTCATGACGGCGCCGTCGTCTGGACGATGGATGCTTCATTCTCATCGAGTCCATAACCTTGTCGGACGTAGATTCAGGCTCTGCCCAATGTGATGTGTTTTCTGTTTCTCCTTGGAGCTTCGTCGAGTTGTTTCACCTTCGCTCGACTTAATGCTTCCTACTATTTCCGCACACTCAAATCGTTGCTCGGTTCGAACAGAGTGCTAAACAAGCGGCTGGCTTCCTTCTAATGTTCACTGAGCATCCTGCGTCCTCAAGGATCGCTTACTCGCAGCATGCCTCGTCAACACAAGTGACAAGCGCCTAGCCTGCTTGACGGCTCACGGAGTCGGACCTCCTCGTATCGAACTACCGAGGAAGTCGAAGGCCACGAAGTCGTCGAAAGAGACGTCGCGCGTGGGTGCGCCGTCGCGAGGATGCTTCCACTTGTTGGCTTGCTCTTGC